TTCTGGGTTTAGTTCTCAAACTTGTGAAAAATGCACCAATTTGCGAAGTTGGCTTACTGGGTCTTCAGGAAAATCCTTTGTGGGGCAGGGCGTTTCAGTTACTTAGGGAACCAAGAACTCCTTCTCCATCAAGGGTCATGCCAAGGAAAGATGTTAAATAAACCCTCTGCTAAGCAGTGGAATTCATAAACAATTTAAGAACTAGATGAACTACTAGATAGATACACTACTTACTAGATGAATAACTTCCACCTCTTTTCTCTGCAGGATTGCAAAGTGCATTAAGTGCTTGATTTTTTATTAATAGGAACAAAACCATGCCAGATGTGGACCTGGTCAGATAGGTTTCAGGAAACTTTAGCGTAGCTTTTAAGTTACAACCTTTTATCCTTTTATAATCACCTGTATTATGCCGCAAGTTTAAATTTATTTTAAAAGTATTACTTAAATAACTACCAGGTTCCTAAGAGTTTAGGGAAGGCATAAAGAGATGTGAGAGAACAAGCCAGTGGGGAAAGGAGCATTGTGAATTTCGTGGAAGGGTGTGAATTACCACAAATCTTTGGGGCGGGAGAGGCGGGGGGGGGGGGGGCGGGAAGCATCTGGATGAGGTATAAATACTTGGGGGGAAGTAACCCTTTACAAAGGAAGGGGGACTCTTAAAATATAAGTGCCACTTTGCGGAATGTTGGAGTGGGGATAGGTTTGTGGCTAAGCTGAAGCCGGCTGATAGAGATCCCATTTGGGGAGATTTTAAGCTATGAAGTTTGAGGAGCAGGCCCTTGCCTACCTCTTCAAAAGGACATTAAAAGGTCCCTATCAGCAGCCACATAATTAGTGAATATATTTAGCACTGTGTGCAAAATCTTGATCTAGACATGGTAACATCCGCATCCAAAGGAGAAGCCACAGAATTATTAAAAATGACATTTCTACTCTGGGAAATCAGCCTCTGCTACAAAATGCGTCTGATTCAGCCAAGTTCCCTATGTACAACTTCAACACCAGCTTGCGAAATTGAGGTAGGTGAAAAAAACGGAAGCAACTCCAACAGCACAGGTTGCCCCAGTCCCCAGTTACTTTTGTTACTCAAGGAATGAGGTCCCAGAACTATTTGCAACTTCACAGCACGGAAGCCCTGCTGTTAAGGTCTTTCTGTAAACTTCCAATTGGCCTAATCATTAAAAAACACCTACCCTCAAGGGCTTTCTTTTGCCCTTTGTTTTTATACAACAAAAACAGGATGTGATCTTTTGAAAGGTGCCCAATGATGACACGGTTCACATAAATCCTCTTAAAATGAACTGGCAAGAACAAAATGCAATCTCATTTCCAGATATTAAAACAAGCCAGACATTTTCATTCTATTTTCCTACAGAGCTTTCATACCCCAGGGAATATACATATTAAAAATGTGCTATACAGTTTTGTTTTTAAATACTGACAAGCTGATTATACCTTGATACTAGAACTTACCCACAGAAGTAAAATTTTAGCTGCTGCTCAAAAATATACTTTGACAATTAAAAAATTACTTTGAGGTCCACCCACCTGGCTCAGGTAGAGAATGTGACTCTTGACCTCAGGGTTAAATTCAAGCCCCACGCTGGACATAGAGATTACTTAAAAACAATCTTAAAAAAAACAAAAACAAAACCTCTAACCATTCTGAAAAAGTAAGCTTTCTGAAACTTACTTTAACCAATAAATCCAGAGCTTAAATGCTATGTCTTTCTTTAAGACTTTATTTTCTGAAAAACAGGTATTTCATACAATCTTTGCTTTGTTAATGCAAATATGCACAAAGTAGGCATGTATTTTTGTTTTCCAAAAGATGCATTATGAACATTTTCAGGAAGCTGGTGTGATTTATTCAACTTTTAATCTTAAATACAATCACAAAATTATATCCATCAGGAGGCATTACAACCTTTTGTACAGAGAAGCCACTTTATTTATACAATGTTACTAGGACAAGGAAGATTCATTTAAACTCAATTTGCTCTTATAAGGGTAAAGTAAATTAACAAATGAAGTATGATGTTGCCACTGACATTACAGGTGGAAATATAAGAGAAATTTAAAACCGGAAAATAACTGACACAACAACTTTAAACAGGAGCTGAAACTTGGACTGTCAGGCAAAGAAAAGAAAAAAAAAATCAGCCTGTTTTGAAAGAAAAACATTCTACAAGCCTGCATTTCAGGAGAACATGCAATTCCTTAAGTTTACCATCTTCAAAAATCAAACTAATTGTATGACATTTTTACATTAGCACAACAAACAGCTTTTCCCTCGTAAGCCCAATTTCCCGTAGAAAGCAAGGGACTCTAAGTGGTTCATGTTGTACAACTAACCCTTAGCCTGTAAAGCTTCTCAATTGGAGTCCATTTGCCTTTTTGTAAATGAGGGATGGTGGTGATGTTACTCAGGCCTAAAAAGCAGGAAAAGTGCAACAAATCCTGAGGGGTTCATAATACAGGGGTTTCCCCCTTCTGCAATGTTTGGAAAAATTTGTAACCCTAAGCTAGCTTTTCCCCACAGGAGGAAAATTTCTAATACAACCCATACATTGAAAACAAAATCTACCTTCTTTAAGTGACCCTTACATTACTATAGTCTACCTCCTTGATTTAAGGGGGGAAAGTCCTAGCTCTAAATTACATTTTACAAGCCCACGATGATAGAGCATGGAAGGTCACTGTTTTTCACATTCATCTAATCTTATGTAAAACAAAGGTATGTGCGCTAACAGTAAAGCATTTGCTGATTTTTGATGTATATGAATCGGTCTAACAGGCTAACTGTAGGTGCTTCCTTTCATATGAAAAGAATTAGGTAAAAGAAGAACCAGCCCCTTTGATTTTAGTACTGCCAAAACAAGTAAGCCCCCAGAATAATTACAAATATGTGGAGGATAATAGGCCAGGAAGACTTTTCAATTTAAAGTACTGCCTATAATACCCCAGATTTAAAAGGACCTAAGATTGCACATCAACTCTAATATTTTTGGCTGTACTTGCATTGCCCTGCTCGGCATTTTTTAATGGCTCTTTCCTTAAATTTCACACGTCAGAACAACCACAATTAAAAAACAAAAACAATGCAGAAGACACCAAACACGGACAGTATTAAAAACTACACACTAAGCTTCATAGTGGCAAGTGTTAAGGGCAGAAGTTACGAAAGTTTTTCTTTGTATTACAAACCCTCACCCTGAACTTGGGGTTTGGGCTCTTAAAAAAAAAAAATTAGGGAAGCAGATCAAGAGCTTGATTATCAGTTCACACAGAGAAATCTCACATATCTCAAAAACACTCACCACAAGTGCCAGACGCAAAAGAATCTTAATAATCCTAGCAAACTATGTTAACTCATGACCAGAGAGAATGAGATCCTGCAAGACACAGCAAAGAAAGACTAAACGAGAAATACACACAGCTCCGTAAACCACTAAGCCTCCACAGCTCTGTAGAGAGATCAACTAAAATTCAGGCAATTTTAGAAAATCAAAGACAACAAAACACGACTTCAATTTCCAAGGGTACTTTGAATGGAAGAAGAGGTTGTAGGTTATTGTATACCCCCTGAATCTTGGAGAGAAAGGAAAAGAGAGGAGCAGATCCCTGGTTGTCCACAGGTATTCTGTATCAGCAAAGACGTGTGACTTCACAACTACCGCACTCTCAACTTTATCTTACAAAACAATCCCTCCAGTATTGCGCTGGCTTCTCAGTCTGCTCCATCACTAGGGCCTTTCACCACGGATTACATCTGCTGAGTTTGCTTCCAACGGTTCAAAAAGCCAAGGCTGCTTACAGAAAGACTTCCCAGACGAAGGCAAACTGTACAGATCAGGGTCTTATTGTGCAGAGTGCAGTAAAGAGCAAGCTTTGAAGTCATCGGTCACATCTGCCCCACAACCAAACATGTATGATGCCACACTATTTCTTCTCAGAGGGACCATTTTAAAATAAAAGCGATGGATAATTTATCAGAGGCACATGTTTCTGATATAAAGCTGTTTTGTTTTTGCTCGGATAAGGTGCCAGGTACCTCTGAAGCCTGAAATTCTCAGGCAATAAAACCCACCTATTTCCTTTACCTTCCTTACCTAAAAAAAAGCAATTTCTGTCAGGACAAACTAGTGTGACCTTGTTTTATCACTGTGATAAAAGTTTTTCCTTGTGACAACAAAGAATGTCGCCGGAAAGACTTTACTTTTGAGAGAGCAGAGGTAATCAGGTGATGGACGCGGCAGCTCCCACAGAGCCTCGAGGAAATAAAGCAGCGTGCAAAACACAATATGGCATCATTATTCCAGATAGGTTGTTTCGATTGTGAAAATAAGGTCCAAATGAATGAAGAAAATAAAATTTGATGCACTAGGTTCCTTAACTGGCTATTGGACACACGGGTATTTGAAAATACCACCTTGCTTGCAATACTTGCCTAAGTATTAAAAAAAGCACTGATCCTGAGATGCATTCTCTCACGGGTACCTAAGGATTATAGATTAAGGTGGCAATCAGAATACAGAAAAGGCCAGAGCTATGTGGAATTTTTCCTTAATACCCTTCAAGTTTGTCTGTGAAGACCGGCGACCAGAAATGATCACAGTCCTAATCTCTAAAATGCAGGAAAAATGTATTCAGTCAAGATTTTGTGTTCTATTTTGTGTTGATACGTGATTTTAAGAATCCTATCCTAGTCTGTGTTTTATTGTGGATCAACAATTCAGCTTACAGTACTGAAATGCAACACTAAATTTAAGGAAACCTTGATCATGAATTCACAGCAAACTATTAAAATTGTGCAAAAAGTAAAGGACTTCACAGATTAATAACTGAACTTAATAAACGATGGCGGTAGTTCTCATTTGCTGATGTTTCAAGTACATGTCCTAAAATGCCAGGTAAACCAAAGCACTTTTAATTTACACTTTGTAAATTAAAAGTATCAAATGAGAAAACTGAATTAAAAAACATTTCACTCTACCTCCACCAGAACATCACTTTATTGTTAATCTGTCATCAACAATGTAAAACTCTAATGGGTACTCTATCCTGGTTTTTAAAAAGGTAAAAGATTACATTGGATTAGCTACTTTCTATGAAAGAAACTACAGCAATCGCAGAAGAGGGAAAATTTGAATGACCTCCCAAAAATGCACACTATAAGCAAAGGGGAGTGTACATTAAATCAAATGTCTGTTAGATTCATTACTTTTGAATGCACAGTGACAATTCTGGAAACTGTACATGATAGAATCACAGAAATGACTTAAATAACCAGGATTACATTTTGTATGTGATCATCAGACCTTTAAACAATCCTTGAATTTTCCATGTTATCAGTGGTTTTGGAGAAATTCCTGTTTATCACTCCAAATAGGTTGTTAACAGCATCAAGACGGAAGTATATGAAATGTAAGGATTGAAATAAAAGTAAAATTGAAAGATGGCTAATCTACTAGATCAGGTAAAAGGAGGATGGGTAGATGGTGTGGGGTTGGGGGAGGAGGACAGGACGATGGGTGGTTTTTTTTCCCTTCATTTCAGAAGTAAGTTCTTCCAATGTAGTGTATCTGTTACATAGCTCTCCATTTCCAGTCCATTTCTGAAATTCTTATCGCATAGCCTTTTTGTGCCTACTGGTCAACCCAACCAGTACTGTTGCCAAGCAACAAGTGTTACACGAGAATCTGAATGCATCAAATCTTCCTTGGCTGTGATTTCTTCGCGGCCCCAGTCTTCTCTGTTTCTGAGCGGGGTTGGTTTTTTCCTGGATTGTACACACAGGGTCAGGTGGAATGGAGTTCCAAATCACTCTGTGCTCCGCGGCATCCCGATTTCTTTCTGCAGCTAACCTCCTGACACGTTTGCAGCTGTTCTGTGGCAGAAAGACAATCTCCATGTTCAGGCGGTGAGCTTTCTTTCTTTCACCCTTGACCCTGGGGTTGCAGGCCATGGTGTTGGGCGTATCCCTGAGTGCAGCTGTCCTGCAGGATTCACTTCCTAGCGCCCCGAGATTTCCTAGGTTTCCTCAGAGTAAGCCCCCAGTTGCATCACCACCGACTGTGGTGTGGCTTTGGATGCCTGAGGCTGAGTTGATTCTGGTGGATGTCTGACCTCGCTTAACCAGACTCATCTACTGTCTTGCCATTCATACCCAGGCTGTCCAACCTTCATACAGCTGAGCCAAGTTATCTAGATTAGTTGCTTCCTTAATGACATAGTCAACCTGTAAAATTAGGCAGGATAATATTTTAAACCATTTAAAACTTCAAAGGACATATATGAGTTCTAAGAATTGTTTAAAAGTAAGTTTCTAATCACTCAACTTAATTGCCCATAGGACATGTCATTGCTATGGTGGAGAGGTGAAGTAACCTGAGCTTCCCTCATAATCCCAGAGTTTACAAGAGGTGTGTCTTGAGAAAGTCAAAAATCCCTTTGAGGCTTGTCAATCCTTAGATGAAGAGAGCCCCCACTGACCCCACAGGTGCTCCTGGGGTTAAACACATGAAGTCACTAGGTAAATGCTTAGGCAGCGTATAAGAAAGTGCCTGGCACATTCTGCAATACAGTTGGGTACTCAACAAATACCTTGATTCTGACTCAGCTAAATTTTCTTTTATAGTAAGAGATATAATTATCTCTGTATCCAGAGAATCCAGAGGATCCAATTGTATATTAAATGCTCAATATAGGGCTGCTGAATGATGACTTATACCAAAAGCCGTGCACAAAGATCTCTACACTTACCCCACTCCTCTAAGTCCCTTAACTCTCTTTCATATAAAATTTAGTAACTATCAGAATAAAAAGCACAATAACCAAAGATCCTTCAAACAAATGGACAGAGAGTGAAGATAGGCAGTCGCGAAAGTACACAAGCTATTAACCTACCAGAAAGCTTTGGAAGCAAAGATACCCCTCTGACTCAATACGGTCCATGGTTTTTTTAAGTTTATTTATTTTGAAAGAGAGAGTGAACATGTGTAGGGGGCGGGGGGATGAATCAATCCCAAGCAGGCTCCACACTGTCGGCACACAGCCCTACGCAGGGCTCAAAACACAAATGGTGAGATCATGACCTCAGCCAAAACCAAGAATCGGACACTTAACCTAAGACTGAGCCACCCAGGCACCCCCTGTCCATGGATTTTTTTTTTAACAAACTTGGTAATTTCTAAGGAAGTACCTCTTGACCAAGAAGAGTTTAAGTTTCTACACAGTGGTGCAGCAGCATTTAAAATAAAAAAAAACTTTTAGTGCTGATGTTAAAACTGAATTGTGGATGTCAAAACATTGAAAACAGGGTAATCATAGTCTCAAATTTTCAACCCACAGAAGAAAAGGTACATTTGTAAAGGAGAATTCAGGAGAACACTACCATTGACCAAATGACCTAACTTAGTAACACAAAAGATGGCACACCGACCGGTATCCCTTAATGTAAAATTCTGAGAAAGACACATCAGCGACACAGCATTCCTGACAAAAATGTTGATTCTGAATTTAATTATGAGGAAAATATCAGACAAATAAAAAGTGAGGCACATTCTACAAAATGACTGATCTGGACACATCAAAAAGGTCAATGTCATAAAAGAAAAAAAGGAAAAGAAAACGATCAGGAACTGTTCTAGACGTTGAAGACAACTAAAAAATAGAACAAGTATATGAAATGAAGATGAGCCTTGACTAGATCTTGTTGGGGGCAGAGCAGGCGGTTCAATAGAGAAGGACTAAACAATAAAGGCCATCCGGGGATAATTGGAGAAATCCGAGAATGGACTGAATGTTAGGTAACAACCAATGTTAACATCAATGGTAAGTTTCCTGAGTTAATGTTTTGTCTAGGAGACATATATTGAAGTATTTATTAATTTTTTAATAATACATAATAATACCTAGTAACACTTCATGCCTAAATACTTCAATATATGGGGCAACTGGGTGGCTCAAGTTGGTTAAGCTTTTGACTCAGGTCATGATCTTGCGGTTCATGAGTTTGAGGCCCGCATCGGGCTCTGTGCTGACAGCTCAGAGCCTGGAGCCTGCTTCAGATTCTGTGTCTCCCTCCCTCCCTCTCTCTCTCTCTGCCCTCCCCTGCTCGCATTCTCTCTTGCACACACATGCTCTCAAAAATAAACATTAAATGGGGCGCCTGGGTGGCGCAGTCGGTTAAGCGTCTGACTTCAGCCAGGTCACGATCTCGCGGTCTGTGAGTTCGAGCCCTGCGTCAGGCTCTGGGCTGATGGCTCAGAGCCTGGAGCCTGTTTCTGATTCTGTGTCTCCCTCTCTCTCTGCCCCTCCCCCGTTCATGCTCTGTCTCTCTCTGTCCCAAAAATAAATAAACATTGAAAAAAAAATTTTTTTTCAATTAAAAAAAAAAATAAACATTAAGAAAATTAGTTTTTCAAGATAAACAGCTAGAGGGGAATTCATTCTCAAATATATAATTTTAATAACACTAATGAGAAAATTTCAGAGTAATGACTTCAGACAAACTGACACCCCCAAACACTTTATAGATACTATTCCCGCACCCAAACATCACCCTCATTTCACTTGAAACCTTCAGATAGTCCTCTTTAAAATGCAGATTAACTGTGTTCTCGTGGAGGAGAGAGGGTCAAGTCACACTTCTAATTTCTGCTAAAAGAGGGACTGGGGAGAAAGGAACATGCTAACAGGGTAGTCAGAATAAAATGGTGAATGTTTGACAACTCCAGAGTTATGTTACTCAAAATCTTCGGAATCCCGAAAATAAATTCCAGTTCCTCATTTCTTGATGAACCTCCAAGAATATGGGTGAGTTTATCTTTTAACCTGTACTGTTTCAGCAGCATGAAAATGTGTAGATCAAGTTTAAAAATGGTCACCTGGGGGCACCTGGCTGGCTCAGTCAGAAGAGCATGTGATTCCTGATCTTGAGGTCACAAGTTCGAGCCCCACATGGGGTGTAGAGATTACTTAAATAAAACTTTTAAAAAAATAATAAAAACAATTAAAGTAATAAATAAATAATTTTTAAAAGGTCACCTGTTCAGCAACTGACATCCTCCTATTTGGATCAACATCTCGGCCCTCTAGCTTGGCTTTCACTCTCTTCCACACACTCACTGCATATGAGTTTCTCTCTTGCACAGCTACAAAGCAACGGAAACACAGAAGTCAAACCACAACTTTGTACAAGTATCTAAGGCACCCTTATTCCTACTAACTTACCCTTCCCAGTTTTAGGGTCTCTGACAGCCTTTTTAGGACTACAAGCAACACTCTTGCCAGTTCCTGGAATGGTGCTTGGTGGAGTATCGGCTGATGTGGCAAGATTTTTCTGAATCAGCTTTCTAGCGTTCTGTGACATCACATCAGGCTGAGTCTTCTGGCCAGTGTTGCTCCGGACTGCTACAGGGAAAGAGTGGGTAGCTCAATTCACATGTAAACAGAAGATGGAGGGAGACAAAGAGCAGGGCAGGGCTCTCTCAACCATCAACTACACATATATAGCCACAAAGGTGAGTATGATTTTAGAACCTTAAAATCCTTATCCCTTCAAATAGATACTGTCCTCTGAAAAATATAGCCTAAAGAGCTAGACATTCAAAAACGAATTTGTACAGTGATGCTTGTTGTGGCACCAAAATACTAGAAACGTATGAACTGTCCAACAATATAAGGTTAATATGGTAAAGACACAGAATGGCATATTAAATTTGGGCATGAAGTCACTTGTTAAAAGATCATTTGGTGGCGAGGAAATTACCAATTTAATATTAAGTGGGAAAAGACAACAAAAATTGCATTCACAGAATGATCACAATTTGTGCATGTACTATGCATACGTAACTACAAGTATAACAACAAATATATTAATGGACTGACCTCTAATTAGAATGAAACTACAAATTTTTCTTTTTATAATTTCCCTGACAAGTATTTATTTTATATTCATGTGTTTTTTTTTTTTTTTAAGTTTATTTATTTGTGAGAGAGACAGCGTGAGCGGGGAGGGGCAGAGAGAGAGGAAGACAGAGATCTGAAGCAGGCTCTGTGCTGACAGCAGAGAGCCAAATACAAGGCTCAAACTCACGAACCGCAAGATCATGACCTGAGCTGAAGCAGGACGTTGAACTAACTGAGTCACCCTGGCGCCCCATTCATAAATTATCTGAAGAAGATTTAAACACAAGGTATTTTTACTCTCTCACAGAAGCACTTTTAAAGTTAAGCCAAAACTTAAAAGGGGGAGGGGAGCACCTGGGTGGCTCAGTTGGTTAAGCATCTGACTCTGGAAATCAGCTCAGGTCATCATCTCATGGTTTGTGGGATCAAGCCCCATGTCGGGCTCTGCGCTAACAGCAGGGAACCTGCTTGGGATTCTCTCTCTCCCTCCCCTCTGTCCCTCCCCCGCTCAATTGCGCTCGTGCTCTCTCTCTCAAAATAAACAAATAAACTTTAAAAATAAATTTAAAAAATAAGATTAGGAACAGATGAAGTTTCAGGTCTTTTCTGAAGTGGAAAAGTCATACCTGCAGCAAAGGATGGCTGGCAAGTAGCAGCTGACGTTGGACTCGAACATTCATTTGTTGCATCGGTGACTAAGGGTGATGCAAACCCCACTAAATTATTATAGATACTGAAATACAAAACAAATTGGCTTATTTATGAAATGCTTCACCAGGTAGCTACTTATAAATCTGAACAAAACTGAAAAAATTTAAATGAATTAAATAAGCAAAACTTACTCTACCAGATTTTTGCTTCCATTTGAAATCTAGGCCAGAAGGCATCCTTACCTCTGACTCTGTGTTTTCAGTTCTTTCAAGGTGGGAGTTATTTCCTGGAGCATTTCAACGTGTTCTTGACTTCGAACCTGACCCATAGCTTGGACTAATGTGAACAGCACCGTCTGAATGTTGTCTTGCCATGATTTGTATTCACCTAGGAACTGCCTGACACTGCTCTCATAAGGGACATCCTCGCCGTCTGCCAGGGCAGCTTCTTCATCCTGGAATCCACATGTTAATGACTGACAGAAATGGTACTGGTCTCAATAGTAACTCATAAGACAGTCACATTTTGAATAACAAGTAATAAGTGTTTTTCCAGCAAGTGTTTAATTTGTTTACCATAATTAACTCCTTTTCTACAGGAATCTGGTTTCCAGTACAAAACAAAAAGTCAAAGTAAAAATAAATCCCCAAGTTAAATGATTCATCGTTTTGTAATGATGAAGTTATTTAGCTTTTTTGTGGGGCTGAGTTTCCTTACTATGGAAATTATGTAGGATACTGAAAGGAAGAGACAACATTTCATTCATTTTGGAGGTGAACGAGCTTAGGGATAAGGCTGGGGAGGAGGACGAGACATTGGAGATCTAAACACCTGGAGACTATATTCAAGTTTCAGCTTTGTTGTTAAGTTATAGGACTCTGGGTTAATCCATTTCTTTAACCCCCAGTTTCTCTGGGTACAAAATCAGAATACGACTACCTGCTTTAGAAAAAAAAAAAGTTGATAAAAACACAAATTAACTCCATTACAAATTGGAAGATGTGAACCAAGAGGTTGTTTTTGTTTATATCGTTATTTTCCCAAATACGACTACTTGTAATTTTATGAAAAGAGAGATCTGACTGGGTGTCACTCATATCAGTCTTACCTTGGCCATTGCTTTTAGGAGGTGTTTGACATCTCCAAGTTGCCGGTTATGACCAGTGAGCACAGTTTTTATATTATCAACCAGATTCTGAATTGTTTCACAGACTGTTTCTATCTGTTGCTCTTTCTCTGTCTGAACTGCCCTCTGAGTAGACATATCCTGAGTCAGTTGTTTGTGTGCTGACAAAAGCCATTCAGAGCTGCCAATAGGATGTTCAAGACTGGTGTCCTAAACAGAATAAACATTTGATTTTAAGCATTAGATGGAATAAATAATGGAAGATTCTTTCCTTCATCATCACCATTAAAAGGTACTAGTAACTTAAAGTGACACAAACAAACTCATTTGCCAAGTCATGAACTAATGACCTACACAATAGTTTAAGAAATAGAAATAGTTTAAGACATAACAAATGCATCTAGAATAACAAAGATGATCCGAATCTAGAATGCTAAACCCAATGTAAATCATGCTTTCAAAGGCCACGAGAGCTTCCTAATTAAAGTCTTCTCATAAAATATAAACATCAAATGTATCAATTTGCTATTTTTGGACTTAGCCCTCCTGTCCAGCATTCACCTTCCACTAGCCCCCTGTCTGCTACCGTATTTTCAGTACATTTAAGTCATTTGCTATACGTTGTATTTCTCCTCCCTCTGAAACTCCACAGAACTTCCAACTGTGGCTCTGAGAACCCTTTTCCCTTTTTTTAATACAAATACATTAAAATAATTTTTTAATATTTTATTTATTTTTGACAAAGAGAAACAGGGAGACACAGAATGTGAAGTGGGCTCCAGGCTCTGAGCTGTCAGCACAGAACCTGACACAAGGCTTGAACTCACGAACTGTGAGATCAGGACCTGAGCTGAAGTTGGACGCTTAACAGACTGAGCCACCCAGGCTCACTTTTTAATTCATTGTATTTATAATTAATAGGTTCCTTGGGTGCTAAGAGCAAGATTTAACCATTGTTATATCCCTCATAACAACATCATAAATATAGTATACACACTGCATAAATGTAAACCGAGTGAATATATTAAATGGAGTTTGAGCACATGACACTGGCCTTATCATTTTCATCAACAAATCTCTTCACCCCCACACCAAGATTCAAGACTCACCACTCTCTGTAATAAACGAAGCTCTAACTCAGAGACTGAACTGTTAAACTGTGATGCAAATGAACACATTTGCTGGCATCGTTTGATTAGTTCAAATAACGCAGCATCCAGGTTTAAGGCTTCTGCAGTTCTAGTTCGTAAACTTTCAAAATGAATGATATTGCTGCAGAGGAAAGTGACCTGTGAAGAGGCAAAAGAGGAATGGAACCACCACAATAAGGGGGGAATGCAATTTTAATTGACATGAAAAAATACTGCCTATTCATTTCCAGAATTCAGGACCAAACTGGTCCTGAAAATGGTATGAATGTTTGACTCTTCTGGGACAAAACAGAACTAAGCCTGAGAAAGGCTATGAATAAATGCACTTTTTTTTTGGTTGATGTTATTAGGTCTGAGATGGTTAAAAGCACCTAAGTACAATTGGGTAAAAGTATCTGCTGTACAACTGCTTTCACACAGAAAATTTATTCCGTAATAGAACTATCATCATATTCAGGGGCAGCTTATTTGTGCTATGTCCAAATTTCAATTTGGAATGTTGCCCTTCTGCTTCTCCTCTTGCCTCACTTCACAATAAAGATCACAGAATACTAACTGGCTATTTGATGACATTATGTACAACTTTTAAGGTATGATAATACTATTGTGATTATGCAAATAGTTCTTTTAAGTACGTACTGAAACATGTCATTGATTTAGTCTAATTTTCTACCTGACTGGACATACCTAATAGTTTGTTTCCATTCTCCACCCCCCAAAGTAACAAACTTAATCCACAACCTCTGGCAGAATTCAAGATCATAAAGACATTTTATTGCCATGCTGAAAGAATAGTATCAAATCTTTGGGTCACCTAAGCTGCATAAAGAGAACCTTAGACAAATATGGAATTCAACTCCATATTTTCCAACAGAGGCTGAATCTACTTTATATTTAGCTGGGAGGCAGTAAAGGTCCAGGAAAAAAACTGGCTGTGAGCTCAGCCTAAAGGATGGATGCCCTTCCCACCAAGGCCTACCAGGTCCCTCTTCCCAGTACTGTCAACTTGAGGGTGGGTTCTCAAGCTACCCCTAGTTATCCCACACGTAACTTCCAATCAGCTGTATCATCATGTAACTGAAAACAAAGATGGCACGCACGGGTCACAATACCTGGCTTGCTCTTTGGCTCTCTTTAAGGACAAGATTTCTTCTTTCGGCTATTGTTGCTTCGAAATCCTGCAGTACAGGTGCCAGTGCAGGGTTAGCACCGCCTGCCCACTTGAGTCGCTGTTCAATACTTGCTTCAAGTGCTGCTAGTTTCTCCTGTAAAAGCCAGCAGAATCTCAGTGAATATCTGACACTCTCCAATTCCTACTGGGCATTTTATATCAATACCAGGGAGATTCAAAAGAAGTACATGCATCATTCAGAAAACATTTTTAACAAACACCTTGTGGAATTAATCTCGATTTCACTTTGAACAGGTTCAACATGTCTGGGAAGAACTGGCTTTCAGTTTGTCTTAAAATTTTTCATTTTTAAATAAAGTAGTCTTTAAAATCAAACACCTGCTACATCCAATTCCTAATGCACTTTATGCGCTATCTGGAAGAAAATCCATTTATCGCTTGCAACAACATGGATGGAGCCACAGAGTATAATACTAAGTGAAATAAGTCAGAAAAAGACAAATATAAGGTTTCACTCATATATGGAATTTGAGAAACAAAACAAGTGAAGAAAAAGAGAGAGGGAGAGAGAGACAAACTAAGAAACAGACTCAACTATAGAGAACTGGTGGCTACGAGAGGGGAGGTCAGTGGGAAGAGGGGAGAAATGGGTGATGGGGACTGAAGAGTACCCTTATCATGATGGGCGCTGAGTAATGTAGCGCATTAGTGAATCACTATATTGTACACCTAAAACTAATGTAACACTGTACGGTAACCACCTAGAATTAAAATAGAAAGCTTAATTCAAAAAATCCATTTATACTTTTGGTTGTGAAAGATGAAAATCTAATTCTCAGAAACTCAGAAGCTTATGGAAGATAGTAAAAATGTATCCAGATTACCATGATAAAGAAGGTTTTATGTAACAAAATTATTTCACTATTTATTCACCACTTCAGGCAAAGGATTCCCATCCTTTGTCTTTCCTGCACTTCTCTCCCGTTCTTTCTCTCACACAAACACACCTCTCAAGTGAGAAAGGCTCTCCACAGTTGAAAACTAGGCCTAGTATGCTACAGAGAAAAGGTACTTCAATCTTCAAAGAAGTGAGCTCCAGAAAGTTTCATTAAATATGTAAAAATTATAGAAGTGACTACACTTGATTTTGTACTCACATTAATTTATATAAAATGAACAGGAAGACATCAGTTACTACTACGTACATGATATAAGAATACACAATACAAAGATACGTATATAACCATAATCAAGAACTGTTTCTCTTATTTAAAAAAGGGAGGTGAGACTAAATATTAAGCAGAAATGACAAAGAAATACAGTCAATAGTAAAAGGAAAACATTCTATCGCCTTTAAATACCTTTAATTATACAACAGGGATAAGAACTGCCTAAGTTTTTTAGGTCTGAACAGTAAGCCAGATGGAACGGCTTACGTACATTTCAGAAGACACATTTTTCTAATCACCAGAGTTCCCTTAATGCACAAAGGCAGAGTGATCATCAAATCCATTAAAAACCTGAAATATTTAGTATGTCTCTCTTCCTGGCTCAAAATACACAGCTTAGTAGCAGGAGTAGATGTGGTTACCTTGGAGGGTAAGGAAAAAAGATAAATCACGCGTAAAAGTGAAAAGTAGTGTGCCCCTGTAGCTCAGAAGCCAAGGACAGACGGGCAGATACACTGAACCATGGAGCACCGACACGTCACCACGGTGCAGGTGCTCTCTCAAAGTAAATGTGCTGCAAGTAAGGTCTGACCGAACACACCTGAACTGTTGCAATTGAAGTTTCAATTTGGCTCAGAGTATGGAGTTTCTTTTTCATGCTGGTTAGGATGGCAGACCGAGGGGGAGGTGTGACTGACACGGCTTGTGGTCTATTGATAAGGAGGTCTTCATGCTGCCACTGTTCAAAGAAAAAGCAATGTAATAAAATCAGCAGGAAAAAAAACCTTTAGATAAAGAGATGGGAGGTATGAATTAGGACTGGGGGAAAGGAAAAACAAAAAAAACAAAAACAGCTGCAGCAAAGCGAGGCAAGGCAGAGACGTGTAAGTGCAAAATTACAAAATGATCACAACCAGGTGGAAAGTTTCCTAATGTAGAGAATGGCTGATAAATTTCTTCAATCAGTGAAATGCAACATCTAAGTAATAATTCTGAAGATATTTTCAAGTCTGTAAAAAACTTTAGTATACAACCTCCCCCAAAAGACATCTCCAGTTAAGAGATCGGAACGGGTACTGGGGGGTGGGGAGGGGTTGTCCAGCATAAGGCTACAGAAGTGATTAAAAGAAATGATGGCAGGAGTCACAGAACAAAGACTTCTCCGGAGAAGAAAGGGGCAGGCAGTTGCTGACAGAGGGTCAAGCGCCTTCCATTTCAAGGGTGACCCCAGAAGGCCAACTGGGCTATAATTTAAAAGTAATACGTTGCGCTTTTATTAAAATGATGGACAGCTGTTCAGATGAACAAAACTGAAAGGCTTTTTGATGTTTTCCATACGGCTGTCAATTTTTAAGGAAATAAACTAAAACGTATCAAATAATGAAACTTTCAACATCACACTTTTTAGAAGAAAAAATTTTAAAAACTCCAACGTGTTAAAAAGACTATTAATACATAATGAAAACAACTTCAAAATCTGAATAAATTAGTTTTCTTAATTCACGAGCTAAAAAAAACAGCTATTGATAAAACCGCAAAGAGAAGGAAATACACTGGTTCCTCACACTGGGCTATAACCACGAATTCCACCAATGGAAAGCAGCTTCAACATAAATGATACCAAAAAACCACTGTCTGTACCAAAACAGACCCCAAGAAAATGGCAGTCCCCAAATATTACTCTATGAGTTATATAACCTGTTTGAAGCTACTGATAATATTGAAGCCTGTATTGGCGGGGGTGGGGGTGGGCGAATAGCTACAATTTATACTGTGCTTAGTGTCTTAAACAGAACATAACTTTTTTTTAACATTTACTTTTAATGTTTATTTTTTGAGAGAGCGCGCGCACAAGTGCACGCATGAGAGTAGAGGGAAGGGGCAGAGAGAGAGGAAGACACAGAAGCCAAAAGAGCACAGTGCGGGGCTCAAACCCACAAGCTGTGAGATGATGACTCAAGCAGAAGTCAGATGCTTAACCGACTGAACCACCCAGGTACCCCTTTAACGTTTATTTTTGAGAGAGAAAGAGAAAGAAAAAGGAAAGAGAGAAAGAAAAGGAAAGAGAGAAAAAGGAAAGAGAGAAAGAAAAAAGAAAGAAAAGAGAAGGGAGGGGGAGGGGGAGGGGAGGGGGAGGGGAAGAAAAGAAGAGAAGAGAAGAGAAGAGAAGAGAAGAGAAGAGAAGAGAAGAGAAAAAGAAAAGAAAAGAAAAGAAAAGAAAATAAAAGAAAAGAAAAGAAAAGAAAAGAAAAGAAAAGAAAAAACAGCATGAATGGTGGAGGGGCAGAGAGAGGGGCAGGGAGACACGGAATTCGAAGCAGGCTCCAGGCTCTGAGCTGTCAGCACAGAGCCCAACACAGGGCTCAACCCCACGAATCACGAGATCAGGACCTGAACCAAATCGGATGCCTGAGCCACCCAACTGTCCCGAACATCATTTTTTTTTTTTTTAAAGTTTATTTATCTATTTTGAGAGGGGGGTGGAGAGAAAATCCAAGCAGGTTCTGCACTGACAGCCTATTCAGGGCTCCATCTCACGATCCGTGACATCATGACCTGAACTGAAAGGAAGAGTCAGACTCAAATGACTGAGCCACCCAACATTCCATATAGAACATCATTTGGGGGAGAGGGGGGAGCGGCGGATTTTTTAAAGTTTATTTATTTTTGAGAGCGAGAATCGCAAGCAGGCTCCGCGCACCTCCCCAAGCCCACCCCAGTGCAGAGCCCAATGTGGGGCTTGAACTCGCAAAACACGAGATCGTGACCTGAGCGGACACCAAGAGTCAGATGCCTGATCAACTGAGCCACCCAGGTACCCCTAGAACATTTTTAACCCTCATGGTCCTGAACCTTTGTGAGAGGTACTGTCCCCACCTTAGGGAAGTTAAACTCAGATTCATATACCTGAATCCAAATCCATCTCCCCCCCAAAGCCTGTGCTATCATACTGGCCCCCTAACTAATCAAGGACAAAAACCGGCTTCTCAAAAAAATAATTTCCAAATGATGAAAGATTCATGCACAAAGTTGGTAACACATCAAGAGAGCATCAGGGAAACAGAACAGAAGTCACCTTAGAAATCATCTTAATTACACGTTAAATCATATAGGAGGCACATTCACATAATGAATAAATTCAACCATTAGAAATTATATTTACAAGCAATACTTAATGACACAGACAATACCAAACATACAACGCTGATGCAAATGAATTCAAAGGTCACAAAGTGTAAACACAAAACACTCTCCACTACATGGAACACAGACAAGGAATAATTACAGGAAAGAAACACCAAAATTCCAAAAAGCTGGGTTTGCTGCAAGCTGGCACAATTCAGGATGTTTATATTTTTTTCCCCTTATATTGTTTTATATTAATCTCCCCAGATTTTCAAATTCCTACAATGGGGAAAACCACACTCGAAAAATACTTACTTGAAACATGGCAATTTGCAGCTGAACACGCTGCAGGCTTGTCTTACAAGAAGAAATACTGGTTTCCAGCCTGCGCACCAAATCATGCTTCTTCCAGGCAGTGTCGTAAGAACTCGCTAACACCGTCGCCCTGTTCATGACCAATTGAGAGAACTTTCCGATCTGGATGTTGTGCTCCACTGCTTTCTTACAAAGATCATCAACAGAAACTTTGCTTTCAGCACCAAAATCCTTCGCCTCTACTTGAGCAATAATGTCTACACCTAGAGCACTGATAAAACTGCAGAGGGTGAGTCCTAGGGCTTGGTTGGGAAGTCCAATCAAGAGCTGCCTCACGAAGTCAGCCGTGAATGCCTTTATAGGTTTGGCCATCTGGTCTTCACTGAAACAAGAGTTTCTAAAAAGGGTTTTCACATTGACCATCTGAACAGGACCATTTACAGTATTCTGATCTTCAAGTGAACTTGATCCTAAAAAAAGAAAAGCTTTTTAAAGTATTTCATGCAAAGCAAAATAAGGTGACAGTACTGCTTATTTAACAACAAGACTTGGGGAGCCTGGGTGGCTCAGCCGATCGGGCGTCTGACTTCAGCTCAGGTTGTGATCTCACAGCTCGTAAGTTCGAGTCCCCGTCAGACTCTGAGCTGAGCCTGTTTCAGATTCTGTGTCTCCCTCTCTCTCTGCCCCTCCCCCAGCTCACACTCTGTCTCCCTAAGAACTAAATAAACATAAACAAATAAAAAAAAATAAAAAAAATTAAAAAAGACTTAATGAACATACAATTAAATTAAGCCTACCCCATCCTACACAACTAAATTCTACACAACTAAATCCGACACGTTTAAATGTGAAGCATTACCTGACAAAGTTTTAGAAAAGGTACCACAGAGCCTGAAGAACTCCTTAATTGTCTGTAGTCTTTTTAGAAAGAAAATTTCTTCTAGCACCTGCCGGTGATTATCATCATCAAAAAAATTGACTTGGGTGCTCCTAGCTTCCCTTATAATGTCAATCTTTCGCCAAGCTATGGGAATTTCCATCTTGTTTAACTATGTAAAAAAGAAGAAAAGTTCATTTCTCCACTCTTTGTACTGTGAACAACTACTTTACTACACTTGCATTATTTATTCATAAAGTCAATATTTACCTTTTCAATTAGTAAACCAAAAGCAGTTTCCACTTGGGCAAACATGCCATCAAATGCTACCAACAGCATCTGGCCAGCTGACATTTTTGGTGTTTCATCAACTGAACCATTTCTTGGTTGGATTAATTCACCATATTGAGCATGAAGTATTCTAGAGAAAAAGAAAAGGGAATTAAAATCCTACCTGAAGAGTAGTACGTTTGAGAGAGAACACACAGAAGGTCAACAAGTGTCAGAGTCGGCTAACATGTAATCTAGAAAACAAATCTTGTTGCGTGAAGAGTGTTAACAGTAAAACGGCATGTAGTGTCCACCATAATGTGAAGTTAATGATTCCAATTCAGTATTAGTAATTGCATGTGATTAAATTTAATGCAAACTTGAATTATAACAATTTTTAAAAGAACTACATAAGATATTACAGTCTCATTTTATACAAAGAATGTAAAATAATATAGCCTCCCAATAACTGTCAAGAATCACACAATTCTGAAGTTGGAGGACTTAGCAAAAATTGTCCAGGATGTTCACACTACTGTCACATGACCGAGCCAACTACAGGCAGTAAACTCAAATGCCTGCCATCTTTGGCAAGCTTGGTTTTGAATAATGCATAGTCTGAGCATAGGTTTTCAGAAATTCACCCTGCTCATCATTGTTAACTTAAGACTTACAAAGTGGCTTATGGATCAAGACACTATTCCAAAATTTTTATATAAAAAAAATCAAAAACAGCACTCCTAGTACCTACAACTAGTATCAGTTTATGTCACTAATGTTAACTAGATTGTCAACTTTATCACACAGAAACTGCTACAAAACTATTAAGAGAATTTAAAAACTAGGCTAACCAGAGCAATTTCTTCTTTTTTTTTTTAATATACGAAATTTATTGTCAAATTGGTTTCCATACAACACCCAGTGCTCATCCCAAAAGGTGCCCTCCTCAATACCTACCACCCACCCTCCCCTCCCTCCCACCCCCCATCAACCCTCAGTTTGTTCTCAGTTTTCAAGAGTCTCTTATGCTTTGGCTCTCTCCCACTCTAACCTCTTTTTTTTTTTCCTTCCCCTCCCCCATGGGTTTCTGTTAAGTTTCTCAGGATCCACATAAGAGTGAAAACATATGGTATCTGCCTTTCTCTAACCAGAGCAATTTCTAATGGAAAAAAGAGCTACAACATGCTATAAAATTTTCCTTAAGATGATGCAAGTTTCTCCAAAACAAGGTACAAATATAAGCTGTAACAGAACCAAGCATGAAGATAGTCACCCAACTCACACAAAACAGTGGACAATCATCCATTTGAGGTAAGGGAAATCTGAATTAGATATTAAAGGGAGATAAATGAGGGCTGAAATACAGTGAGAAAGAAAGGTGTACTGATCTACATTTCACATTTGAAATAATGCTAAAAATTAAATGATAAAGATGTTAGGCAAATAATCTAAACCATCGTCTAACTGACATTTATAATAATTACACTCTTTTTTTTATTGTATGGTGAAGTAACTACAAGTAAACATAAAATAGGAAAACTGTGAGTGCAGAAAACACTAAAAATTATTGTTAACATTTTAGGTCAAGTAGCAGCACCATGATTAAGAAAAATAAGTTTAGGGGCTCCTGAGTGGGTCGGGTGGTTCAGCGTCCAACTTCAGCTCCGTTCATGATCTCACAGTTTGTGAGTTCAAGCCTTGCATTGGGGTTCTGTGCTGACAGCTCAGAGCCTGGAGCCTGCTTCAGATTCTGGGTCTCCCTCTCTCTCAAAAACAAACATTAAAAAAATTTTTTTTTAATAAAAATAAGTTTATATTTTAGATACATATACTTCCTACAGTATTTAAGAATGAAAAGATACCTGCTTCAAACTAATTGGGGTAGTACAATTTAAAAAAAATTTTTTTTTTCTTAACGTTTATTTAGTTCTGAGAAAGAGAGAGAGAGCAGGGGAGGGGCAGAGAAAGAGGGACACACAGAATCCAAAGCAGGCTCTGGGCTCCAAGCCAGCAGCACAGAGCATCACCAGGAGCTCGAACCCACAAACTGCGAGATCATGACCTGAGCCGAAGTTGGACCCTTAGCCGACTGAGCCACCCAGGCGTCCCAGGGCGGTACAATTTAAACAAATAATTTAAACAACTTAAACAGATGCAGATAATACCCAAAGGTGGTAAAACAAAGGTTCATTCTACTATTCTACTTTCTTTAATCTTTGAATTTTCTCATGGAGGAAGCACGGCAGGTCAATCCATTTCAACTCTCTCAATTATACTTTCTGGGGTCAACTGGACACGAGAATGCCAAAGAAAGATGTCTTGAGTCACCAGAGATAAAGGGACTTAAACCATGGGGATAGTGCATGGCTGGAAGAACCACCCAACCTTTACAGGTTCCAAGGTCAAACTGTTTTTCTGGATTTATGAGATGAAAAACACAGCATTCAGTATCTAAAACAAACAATAAAATTTAAGCAAATTTAAAAGTCTTCACCTGAAGTGAGCTGTATACTCCATTAGCTAACTAAACTGGCGCATGTGATTTCATGGAGTTCTGAGGGCTGGCTTAAAAAATACTACACTCCACTCCGTGTGTATTCACATGGTGAAACACCACCCACGCACGCGTCGTGTATGTGTTAGAACGGCACGGAGCTACACACACACAAACAAGCGCGTGAGTAACTGGTGAAACTTCAGGAAGCCCTGCTGACTGCGGCAACATCCCTTTCGCGGTGCTGCCACAGCCCGTCAGTAGGCAAGATGCTAATGCTGCAGGATGGATGAAGCGTGAGCGAGATGTCCCTGCACACGGTTTTTACGACTTCCTGAGAACCTGTAGTTATTCCCAAATAAAAGTTTTTTAAAGATAAGTAAGCATTTGCAAGTAATTGTATCTGCTGTAAAATTAAAACTGAACTCAGAGTAGAATAAGAGCTCAGAACCCCTTTATCTGGCTTCCCCATCTCTTTCCCAAGAAAATTGCACAGCTAGCATTCACTTGCCTGGCTACATCGATGTAATGAGCATGTGTTTCTTCCTCGAGTCCCATAGCTGCATTTCTTAAGTAGGCCTGAAGAGATTCAACTAGAGTCTGCAGGGGAACGCCATCAGTGGTCTGCTCAATAAGACTGTCCAGCTCATGAAGCATACTTTCTAATGTGTACTCTCCTTTCATCAAACATCTCAGTGCTTCTGGAAATATGATTTGCCGGAAATTTGAATTTAATTCCTATAAATATGTGAGAAATATATTTTAATGTTTTCTGAGTTTAGATAAGTTACATATTTACAGGCTTAATGCCATATATTAAGAACTTACGCAACTATAACCAACTTATGGCCACAAACCTCTCAGTGATCTTTAAGCGACCAATGAAGCAGGATTAAAAGGGGAGAAGTCAAATTGCCTTTCTGAACCAAAGATATAAGAAGTACGGTGTTCAACTGATCTAAAACAAATTCATCAACTTTAAGCTAACTTAAAAGTGCTCACCTGAAGGGAGGTGTATACTCCGTTGGCCAGGTGAACCGCCTCAGAAGCTTCCAGGGGGTTCGGGATGTCTAAGTCCTGTGGCACCAGGTGGCACTGCTTCAGTAACTGCACCAGGCACGTGACGTTCCCGCTCATGCTGCAGAGCTCCTCCAGGAACCAGGCTCCGTCCCGAGAGGTCAGATCCACCAGCTGCTCTCCCGCGCTTGAAGCTGCACCTTCCATCATCAGGTTCCGCCTAAACTCAATTAAATATTTGTACAGTGAAACCGACCCAGCTACCCTCACTCACAAAAGCGAATGCCTCAACACTGGAAAGGAAGTAAAGCAGTTGTGACGTCAAGCAAGACCCAGGCAAGCACAGAATACCTTAAGTTGGGGATTAAACAAAAGACCAGTGAAATCACAAATAAACATCAATGTTTTCAAGACAACGAAACGGTCTCCACAGGAGGCTGGCTGACTCACCTTGTGAGGGTACAAAGGGCCGAAATGATAACACTCGCTAGACTCAAAGATCCTTCTTCTCCATTCTCGTGAAGAAAAACTTTAATACAACGTTCAATTTCTTTCAATTGATCTTCACAGACAGGCACAGTGACAGCTTCCTGTTTCAAGCGTTCCACTTGCCTAATAAGCCTGCTGTTGATGTCAGCTGCGTACCGCTGCAGAGTCATTTCGGTGGCAGTGATGAACTGACACACTGTTGGGGGGGGCTGGGGGGCATACTGCATTTCGTATCTATAAAACCAGAGAGAGGCGCTTGTTTACAACACAACCACACTGGACCCAGGGCGACATGGGGTATCGCATATGATCCTCAAACCTTAAACAGGAGAAATCGTGATTTCCATTTTTACAGCCAAGTCTTAGGAACTGAAGTAACTTTCCATGATGACTCGTTAATGAGGGACAGATCAATGTTTGAGTTTAGCTCTCTTGACCCAGATCCCCGTCAGTGGCTAAAAAGACTCCGACACTGGGATCCACTTTATCTAATGAGGAAAACCACACTGTCTTAGGAGGAAAAGCATGAGCTCAGATTCTCCTCAAACCAAGAAAAAAGTGACTCCGTTTAAAACCCCATCCATCAACCCATTCTCGCAGAAAAAATGAAATATCATGCACACATAATGATAATCATTTGAACACAGCTTTGCTTCCAATCGCAGGAGAAGTTAAGCAAATGAAGCATGACCAACTCACTTCCTGTAGAGCTCTTGACAGCGCTCTACTGTGATGTTACAGATGAGCTCTTCCATCCAGGTCTTCCACTGTTCAATCCGATGTTTCTGAAATATGGCCTTGGGGTACTGCAGAGCCACGGTCGCATAGTGATGCAGCTGCTCCAGGCAGCCCCGGAGCACGGAGCGCCGCTGCTGGAGAAGGGCGCCCACCTCCCCCTCCAGCTGCTCGCACTGGCTGATCAAGTGGGCCTGGCCGGCATTCTGTAGAAAGGCTGTCGCTGGCACATAGCTCGGAGGACCTTTTGGTGAAAGAGGACTATTAATACCAGTGCAACTATTCCCACCCAGCAGTCACTGCAAGGAGCACAAAGCAGAACCCCACACATAACAAAACAACCCCAGATTCACAGGCTCACGTGTGTATCTAAAATAAATCAAAACCCATACCAAGGTCCATTTGTGTGCTGATCTCCTGAAGCAAACTTGCAAGCTGTGTTGCTTCTAAATTATTGAATGCAGCCTGATAATGTGTTATCCACTGTTCAAATTCATTGAGCTTCACCTGGATTGCTTCCTGAACAGCCCTTTGCTGAGTCTGTAGTTGAGTGTGTTCAGAATACCTAACAGGAAGGGAAAACATTTTTTAATTGGTTCTTTCTTCTACGTACTTTCATAACCTTGATTTTGCTCATACTTGGGACTGCCTAGTAAGCTCCCTTTTCAATCTTGAGGGCAGTGCTCAAACGTAATACCTTACTTCTCTGATTTTTTCCCATAACTCTCTCAACTATACTCACAACATTCTAAATAAAATTCTACCATACCTTCCAGGTTTTGAGTTCTCTTCAGCATAAAAGACAAGAAGGTTGACAGATCTTTTGAATCTCACAGACTCGTGCAATGTGTTGCATCTGCATATTTACTGCTTACTGAGCACCTACCTACTCTGTACGAGGTTCATTCACTTAGATCATTCTAGTTTAACGCTTAACTCGGCAAAGTGGATAACATACCTGCCACTGTACTAATGAATAAGGACTCAGACACAGACTGTAGAGAGAAAACCCAGGTTTGCCTGAATCCAAGTTCATATTCTAACCACTATACCCACCCATCTCCCATAGTTACATGCTCAAACATGTGAATATAAAAAAGCAGAAAATTTAAATGAATTTTTGTGCATTAACATTTTGAAACTGCAGTCCTTGGGAGTATTTTTATAATTTATGTAAACTGCTGTAATAATTCTAATTCAGGTTGACAATGTTTACACAAATGTGAAAATTCTCCTTCATGGCAAATATTAAGAAACAAGAGCTTGGGGCTCCTCGGTGGCTGTCAGTTAAACATCTGACTTGGGCTTTCAGGTCATGATCTCACAGTTCACGGGTTCTGTGCTGACAGCTTGGAGCCTGGAGCCCACTTCATATTCTTTGTCTCCCTCTCTCTTTGTCCCTCCCTCTCTCATGCTCTGTTTCTCCCTCTCCCTCCTTCCCTCCCTCCCTGTCTCTAAAATACATAAACATTAAAAAAAACCTTTTTTTTTTTTTTTTTTTTTTTTTTTAAGAAACAAGAGTTCAACACTTTTAAACCTGTGTTGCAGAGTGTGAGAAGGATGGTCCACTCCTTCCGCTCCTTCTAGAAACTCTATTTCTTCTAGCAGTTTGCCCTGCAGTTTTTCCACATCTGTCAGTTGCTCTTGCAAGCTTAGGTATTCATCTAAGCTGCTGTCCAGCTTGGGAAGCACAACCAGCATCTCATCCCTGTTCTTAAACCAGTTCACCTGTAGAAAGATAATTATGATTAGAAAGATTCTTATAGGGTCAACTGTGAGACAGCATGACACGTGCCAGAAGGAAAGTGTTAGATGAACACCCTGTCCCTGACAGGGTGATGGTATCACCTGCATTTTACAAATAAAGATAAGCAGGGCGTTCAAGTTCACCCAGCTGTAGTAAACGGGGACTCAAATCCCACAATAGCATGTAGTTACCACCAAGGCACACAAAACAGTGTTGGCATCACTGGCTACCACAATACTAAGATTAAGACTGACGGGAGGCTATCTAATTAAAGAACACCTAAAACAGTCACTGGTAAACACACTGCAGTGTATTAAAAAAGGTCTAATTTTTTTCAATTCATGAACCCATCTCCAACAAACGGGAGTGTGATCGTGTGCCTTTGTGCACAACACAAATGTGTTGGCAGCATTTCCTACTAATAAGACATCAAATCGTCCTATTCCGCTGCCCTTTCAATGTTGTACATGACAGTCCTCCAAAAACTTTTTTTTTAAAGATAGCTTTAGAGGCATGTGGGTGGCTCAGTTGGTTACACGTCTGACTTTACCTCAGGTCAGGATCCCGCGGCTCATGGGTTCGAGCCCCAAGTCGGGCTCTGTGCCAACAGCTCGGAGCCTAGGGCCTGCTTCAGATTCTGTGTCTCCCTCGCTCTCTGCCCCCACCCCGCTGAAAAAATAAACATTAAAAAAAATACTATTCCTATGAAAATAACTAAATCAACAGAGTTTCACCCACTTTTTGATGGACATGTTAACACTAAAGAAGACGGTGACTGTCACTGCCCTCACCTTAATTTCAGCTACTCTGGAAGAAAAGAGGCTGCGGGTGATCTCTCGCTCCATCTCTCTCTTGCTCTGCTTGCTCTCGGCCTGCTGGCCGCCTCCACCGTACACAGCGCCAGCAAACCCGGCCTCGCCCCCGGCCGTCCAGTCCACCAGAGGGTCATACACAAAGGCCTCCAGCAAAGTCAGCAGAGTCTCTCTGCCACGCCGCATAATGTGTAGAACCTGTTTTTAGAGAAGTTTCAATCAGGCTTTCCCCCAGTTTCCTCACTGAAATGCAGTCTTTCATTCCACAAGATCTGTTAATTTAACAGGTACGTGAAAAGGTGGAGAGAAACAGCGTACCTGCTCGCATGAAAGCCTAAAAACACCTTCTACTCCAGTTACACCCAGTGCCGTTTCAATGTTCTGTGTCATTCGGAAAGGGACCTTCTCAGGAACTCTAAGGCTTTTACCTTGAAAAGACAAATGGTTCTATTTTTGTCCTTTCACCAAAAACATCTGACCCACACGTAAATGTAAAAAGTCCAATTTGATTTTACCTTTTTCAAAGCAAACGTTGTAGTCTATGTGAACCACCTCTCCAGTCGTCATATCTATGAGAACGTTATCCAGATGTCTGTCTCCAAGGCCAATTATGTATCCGACCATAGACATGACTGCAGTAGATCTGGCGTAAGACTAAACAAGAGGGTAAAGGGTGGGGAGAACAGGCTGTAACACCATCAGCAAATCTCCTTCCAAAACAGACTGGACGCTTCAAAATTCCCAACACCATAACCCCGCTCCCTCATTTCTAACTAACTGGCACTCCTCGGGGCTGCTACGAGCAGTCACGGAAGCTCTGCGCTGAGCAGCAGCACACAACACTGTGGTCCTTGTTGGTCGTGCTCAGTATCAGAATGCTGGATTTTAAAATCAAACTATTTTCAGTCTCCCTAGTTTTTCCTTTTCTCAAATTTTTATTCTTTCGTTCCATCCATAATCCCCTCTGTTCTGCCCACACACAGTCATGGCCACGCCTCATAAAAATAAGTGCACATAAGATTCAAATACAGTTCTCGAATTTCCACGTCTGGAGGGAGACAAGGGGGAAGAGAAGGACGGTGAACAACACACACAAGATAGGAAACAGGCAAAACAAACAGCAATATTGATTACAGTCCCAAACAAAACACATACCTGTGTGACTCTCCACCATTCGTCAGGGGTGGTACAAGATGACCAAAGCTCTTTAGCAAGAAGATTGGGCGGGGTGGCCTCCATTAACTCTTCTAATACCGCCTTCATTACATGAAGAGGCCAATCTCGTCGGGACACATCCAAACTAAGTCCAACTGCTTTTAAAGCAGGGCCAATTTTACTATAATAAAGTTCACTAGGACGAGGTACAATTCCCGGATTCTGAGGAGTTTGGTAGGAATCTTGGGCCTTAAAAAAAAGTTTTTTTTAAGAAAAAAAATTAACTTTATTTAAACAAAGGTTACTTGGAATATAAAGTAGTATGTTAAAAACTGATTTTTGAGTGGCATTCTCCATCTATCTAGCCAACTTATACACACCAAACAGGTAATTCTTCTGGAAGTTCCATCTTTCTTACAATCTACACATCTTTCTCTTAATTAACTACTATGACTTTATTGGAAACTTGGTCTACTGTTCTATTTTCTCGAGGTTCAATTCAAACTCAACATCCAATTTACATTCTTCTTTGTAACACACAATTCTATTTAAAATTAGTCGTTAATTTGGAATGCCTGAGTGACTCAGTAGGTTAAGCATCCTACTTTTGATTTCTTTGGCTCAGGTCATGATCTCGAGGTTTTTGAGTTCAAGCCCCACGTGAGACGCTGTGCTGACCGTCTGGAGCCTGCTTGGTATTCTCTCTTTCTCCCTGTCTCTGCCCCTCCCCCACATGTGTGCGCTCTTGCTCCCTCTCTCAAAATAAACTTCAAATCTATCATTAATGAATGCACAAATTTCATTCTTCACTGATCAAGTCATTTAACAACATTCAGACAAATATTTAGGTAGTCCCTAATTCCCATCGCTAATCTACCCCCCAATAACTGTTCTGTAGTCTTCTATGCTTATTTTTTAAACTCGACTCCTTTCAAACTCTTGTTCCTTCCTATACCTAACCTAATTAGATTGTTTTGGCTAGATACGGAATCCTGAAGTTCAGACTAGAAAACTTACCTTGTATGTCTGTAGCACTTGGTACTGTTCCTGGCATATACTCAACACTCAGGTACTTAGCTACAATTAATGCTAAATTGAATCCCTAGTCTAAATCAAAATCATAAATTTCCCAGTCACAAAATCACATAATTAACCCTAAATATAAAGTTGTTTATTATTTACATCCTTAATTTAAAAGAACCTGGGTTTCCAAGCTGTTTCTTATTATAAGCTTAACTTAAAAGACTCTAGGGGCGCCTGGGTGGCGCAGTCGGTTAAGCGTCCGACTTCAGCCAGGTCACGATCTCGCGGTCCGTGAGTTCGAGCCCCGCGTCGGGCTCTGGGCTGATGGCTCAGAGCCTGGACCCTGTTTCCGATTCTGTGTCTCCCTCTCTCTCTGCCCCTCCCCCGTTCATGCTCTGTCTCTCTCTGTCCCAAAAAAAATAAATAAACGTTAAAAAAAAAAAAAAAAGACTCTAGTAAGCCCAATAAAAAAGCATCAAGATGTTAAATATCAACTTACTGAGTGATTAATGACCATACTACCATCCTACCTGCTCCCCCTGTATTTGTCTAGAACCAGACTGTCAAATGTCACCATTTCTTGCTCTTAAGTTTTTATAAAATGTGCCTCAGAAACACTTTCCCAGATACCTTAAATCTATTCTGTAACATATAAACTTTCCAAAACACTCAAGAACAGTAGCCTGTAAGCATTTCACACAGAACAAGAGACTAATATGCTTTTTTATGTATATTCAAATAAAAGTATATGCATATTTGAGTTTTAATCAACCTTCTGTGCTTGTAAGGCGGCCTCCCGTTGTTGCCATCGTTTGTAAAGACCAAATAAAGGTGTGGCTCCATCCACCCACTGGATTAGTCCTGATCGTGTTCCTAGCGGTGTTACAGAATAGTGTCGGGCATGGAAACGGGGCGTTTCCTGGCGATTGATTGTAGCAAACATGGTATTCACAATAGACAGGAATTGCATTATTCTCTCATCCAGATGTAAATCTTCCAATCCTATGGAAACAAAAGTTGAAGTAGCTAGAGTGGTGACCACATGGGTGTAAAGTGCAATGGGGTGGAGGGGCATGGGGGCTTACAAACACACACTTTTATGTTTCTTCTCAGTTAACAGAAGCAGTCAAAAACTGAGAGCCAAAGAAGCACAATGACAGCATTAGAGAACATTCCATTTAGTCACAAGGTATTAAGACACTAGCATTATTAGCTGCACCTCATTTCTGCTTATATAAGTTCTTAAGCAAAGAGACAGTAGGAAATGGAAAAATTTTACTACACAGCCTCCAACCACTGCTATTCAGAATCATGGCCAGGCTATTCACCTGAAACAATCCTCTCCCATCACATTTCACACACAAAATCAGATTAATCAGATTAAAGCTCTTCTTTTAAATCCCACCTTTGAAAAGGTAAGGATAGCTTTTCCCATCTGACCCCAGAAAGAGAAGTTTCTTTGGCTTGGTTTTGGTAGGTAAGATGGTGATGGTTCCGCCCACACTGTGGATTGTGACAGTGTCTCTAGCTGACACCTCTCCAGGAAGAGCAATTTCAGTGTTAGTCATGGCAGCCAGCCAGGGGCTGATTTCTTCAAGACGCAAGATGTAACTTGCACGTTTCTGTGCTCTCTGTTGCAAACTCAGCATTATCTATATTTAGGAGATGGGGAAAAACAAGTTCATGTTATCATTATAGCATTTATTTTCTTCCACATTCAACTGGCATAAAAGTAAACTTAACATACCAACACAGATACTTCCTATTGTAGTGCCTATGCTTATTTGACGTTATGTATTTGGGCATCCTGAGAAGGGAAACAGTGGTGTGCGGATGTGACCTAGGTGATTTTTACTTTGTTCAGACCAACTTCTCTGTCCAAACAAGCAATGAAATCCCAGCAGATGGAAAGAAAGCACTAATTCAGCAGCAAAATTCAGAGCTTCTAACAAGCTAATCCCCCCACTGTTAAGCTATGTTTGATCAGTGCCAAAACAAATCAATTAAGTCCTCACAATAGAGCAGATTTAACTGACAGCTGTTGGCTATCAAATAGATACACTGTTAGAGCTCTGACCACTTAAAGTATGTAGAATAACACCACAACCCCCTCTAATAATTTGCAGGGAGTGAATAGCATATGTAGGTTTATCCCTGCTTGCAGCTAACTCAATAATGTGCACCTGAATTAATGAACTCTGGATTCTGCTTTCATGTGAAAAATGTGTAATCAATCCTTAGCGAGCTTTGTTCCATAAAAGGAAAAATACAACTGGGAACACCCCAAGTATCCATGACAGGACAATGGATACACTGTGGCATTTTCCCATATTAGATCAATGTTCACCTGCATACAAAATATGGATGGACCATTAAAAAAAAAGAAAAAAAAACCCAATGCTAATCTATCAATTATGGAAGTAATAAAAACATACATGCATACACACACACATACACCATGTATACAAACACACACATACACACATATACATACATACATACTGGTATACTGTATATAACCTCATTTATATTAAGTTAAAAACATCCTTTAGAAATGCATCAGTAAATAAGAACTATTTTTTAAAGTATTCTTCCTATCTCTTCCTCTGGTTTTCTTGGTTAATTTATTGACAAGGAGACACAGAAGCAAGGAACTGCTAATGGAACACAAGCAAACAAGTTTGGCTGGGCCACACACACAATGAACTTCAGTCTTCATGTTAGCCCTCTAGCCTTGTGCTTCTAGCTTACGTCCTATGAATTTAGCATGTACTCTAGTTTCCTCTAGATTGCACTTACTCATTAAAGTCAGGTGGACTTTCTTTCTACACTATCTTTTAATAGTTTTATCATTGCTAAAGTTAAGTAAGGAAATTAGGAGTAAGGTAAGGGATAGAGAAAGAGAGAATGAAAGAAAGAAAAAGCTACAACATGATAAATGTTCTCCTAAAATCATGGTGCTGTTGCTGTACCAGGTCAAAGAAAATACACAATTAAGGGGACCAAAACATAAAAGACAGGATTCTCAAATATTTAAAAACGCTAATCATCCCCAAGTAGCCTATGCAGAACCGATTTCAAAACAGTTACTTATAAAAATTAATGTTGTTCCATGTGAACATTTTGTCTGTTATAAATATTTAATAACAAAAAAAGAGGAATATTCAATACCCACCCCAAAGAAAACTATATAGGTACAAGGTTAAATTTTATAATCTTTATGAAGACAATAAAGCAAGCAATCAATATTTATTTCAAGGCCAGACCTCTTCCTTGGTTAATTTTTTACAGTATATTCTTCCTTAGTGTGAACCCTCTACAGATAAAAGTTTGCTGCCCTAGGCCCACTCACCACCAAATTCTCAAAATAAAGAGAACACCTTTCTTTCTCCATATTCCTTATAAGCAACTGGTCATAGGTTGCCTTCTAGGGGCCTACAAAAGTCTTCTTTCACATTGCAGGTAAGGAGAGTCCCCATATTTAAATTCTGTATCTCATACGGAATTTCCCATTCTAGTAGCATTCTTGAGATTTTTCTGTACCTCTTTAAAGGGAATCCAGCTGCTTCCAGGCTTTGCGGGATTGGAGGGTGTCTTCAGTTTTTCAAGAGCATTTTCAATTGCTTCACCATAGTTATCCTGAAACCACTTTTCATGAGGTGTCTCCGCAGGGGCCGCGGTGATGCTCCTCACATGCTCCAAAGCGAACACAATGGGCTTCATCAAAGCCGTGTGCTTTTCCCGCATGATAGCAATTTTCTCTTCTCTGGCCAGGGAGGCATAAAGAGTTTTACAAACATGGAACAGTTTAAATGCATCAAGTGCAAGTAAATACTATCAGAGAGTAAGCTAAATAAATAAAATACTGGCAAAATAACTTACTAACACAGCACTGTAAAATATCCAGCACATGAAAGAGGAAGCTTTTTTCAACAACTGGTACTGGGAAAACTGGACATCCACTTGCAAAAGAATGAAGCCAGACCCTTACCTTCCTTATACGACATGCGAAAAAATAACTCAAAATGGATCAAAGACCTTAAGAGCTAAGACTTTAAAACTCTTAGGAAAAAAAATGTAGAGGAAAGGCTTCTGGCCGCTGGATTTGGCAACAATTTCTCAACAAAAGGCAAAACAGAAAAACCGGGCTACTATATCAAACTCCACTTACGTGCATCAAAAGATACTATTAAGACACTGAAAAGAACACGCAAAAGGGGAGAAAATATTTGCAAATCATACATGTGAAAGGGGGTTAATAATGAGAATTACAGAGAGAACTCCTAAAATGACAAAAAAAATTCCCAACAACCCAAATTCAAAACTGAGCAAAAGATTTAAATAGACATTTCTCCAAAGAAGCTATTCAAATGATCAAAAGGCACATGAAAAGAGGCTCAACATCACTAGTCGTTAGGGAGATGCGAGTCAAAACCACAAGCAAATACACTTCACACCCATCAGGATGGCTACTATATAAAAAAACAAGAAATGACAAATATTGGCAAGTATGCAGAGAAACTGGAACTCTTGAGCACTTGTGGCAGGAATGTAAAGTGATGCAGGAAAACAGCACCAGTTCCTCTGGTGGTTCCTCTGTAATTCAAACATAGAGTAACAATATGACCCAGGCAAATCCATTGGATCATACACAAAATAACTGAAAACGGAGTCCAACAGATACTTGCACACTGATGTTCACCAAAAAGCAACCCAAATGTCCACTGAGAGATGATGGCATGAACTAAATGAGGTATATCCATACAATGGAATATTATTCGGCGATAAAAGGAAATTCTCACATATGCCACAACATGGATGAACCTCCAAACATGCGAAGTGAAACACGCCAGGCACAAAAGGACAAATACCTTTGATTCCACTTACATGAGGTACTCGGAGGAGTCAAATTCAGAGACAAAAAGTAAAATAGTGGTAAAGAGGGGCTAGGGTTAAGGAGCCATGGAAGGTTAGTGTTTAATGAGTACAGAGCTTATGTTTGGGATGAATAAGTTCTGGAAATGAACAGGAGTGATAGTTGCACAACACTGGACACACGCTTACTGTGACTGAATTACACTTAAAACTGGTTAAAATAACAAACTTTATGTCTTGTGTATTTTACGTTACAAGCGGGGAGGGGGGCAGGGAGCAAATTTGTTTTCAGAGTAAAAGCGTATGAAAACGTACTTGCGTAAGGTGTTGTTGTTCTGGACTCTCTTCACCTCATCTTCCAGCTGCTGGATTCGTCTCAGGACATACATATGTTGCTGTAACAGAACTCCCAACCAGAGCTCGTCCCAGAGAACAGTGACCCTGCGCAGCTCAGCCACAAGCATCTGAACCTGCGACACATGGTACATCCAAATACGCTCAGCTACAAGTCCACACACCCAGCACAGTTCTGCAAACACTAGGAATTACAAGTTCACTGTGTGCATCTTTGATTCATTCTACGAGCAGAGAACCTTGATTAGTGATTCTATCAATACTGATTTATAAAACCGGTACTGACTTGTAAAAGCTCATTTAGAGTAAAAACTCTAAAGGTTTTTTTGTTCTTCAAATACTGTTTCCATGACAGTGTTTATGGATGGGTTCTAGGTTGTTTTATGGGGAGGGAGAGAATATAATAAAAGCTGTTTTAAAACATATGAATTGTGCTTTTCTGTACCTGTAACACCATGGTTGGGTTTGCAGAGGACAGTTTATCGACAATTTTGCTGTAGCAATCCTGCATCATGGCCTGGTCTTCATTTAATCCACTTTTAGGTTCATCCTTGCTGCTATCCTGAGAGGCAGGAGGACTTCCTCCCTCACATTCAGAAACCAGCAATTCTTCTCCTTGAATATTGCCAAGTAAAGTTGGAATTGCAGAGGAAAACTTATTTCCTATGAGAAAATGCAAGAATAAGGTACACTTTGGAAGTTTCTCCTATGCGCATATGTTAAGAAAAGCATCAGTAATCTATTTGACTCCAAGGGCACTCACTTTAATTTGCCTTCTGTGCATTAAAATGACCAAAAATCATGGATCTTCTGCCTTGTATTTATTAATATTATAAGCAAATAAAAGATAAATGAAAAAATAAATAAATGAGCCTCAGCACACAAAGCTTTCTCACAGCCAAAGCCCTCTGAGCTTGGTTTCCTCCTTATGCACCATTTTCTCCAAGCCTGAATGGGTTACTGTAAGGCTGAAGGTCGCATGTAAAGAACATGCCCCACCGTGGGACTCAGCAGTTACTATCTCAATAAACTGTAATTATTATTAGTATTATTTATTCTCAAAAAAAGTACGAACTCCCCAACGCTGTAACATAAAGCTCAAAAAGTTTACCTAACAGACATTCCTTGCAAAAGACTTTATATTTAGAGCAGAGTAGCAGTGTTTTAATATTCCATACCTGAAGCCTGTGATTCAGTACTAAGTGATATGGTGCCCACTATTGCAGGGTACAGTATGAGATGTGGGGAATCTTGAGCCACTCGGCAGAGGAGGTTACAAATACTCTGGCGAACATATACTTCAGGATGGTTTAAGCGCGAGAAAAGCTGTGGAATAATTCCTTCAGGGTAAGAAGAAAGAAAGATACTTTAAAGTTATTAAAAACTGTCAACACAGTAGATGCAAACGTGTAAAACCTGACATATGTCAGCATCAGTTCTAAGAGCCTCAAATTCCTCTCTGTATTAATAACAAAGAACCCTAACAAGAGCTCCTGATTTGCACATTTGGTTAGGGTACAGAGCAATTCAACAATGTTCTGGCCAAATGTATTTTCTAAGAATGCCTGTAAAAGACAGACACAGATCATTTTTTAACACCCGGCATATAAAATTGTTTTAAAAGTTATTTTCACCAGGATCTCCAAAATTCATCTTGCATGCATAAAGCTCCTGCCTCTCAGCCTTCTAGTTCTCTGAAAGGTGGGAGACAAGAACATGTAACATACAGGTCACATATTCTATCACTAGTGTAGCTACTCTGTAACACATTCGAATAATAAACATGAAGGAACTACCATTTTTTCAATTGTCTTCTATCTCCTACCCAGAAATAATTTTCCTGAAACATTTTATTTAGACCCTTACCTCTCCATGGAGCAGTAGGTGTTGTTTCCAAGCCACGTTCCAGATACTGCCTAAGCTCGCCGGCATGTTTCACGAGCAATCTGAGCAGGCGCAGGGTGGCCATCACAATCACATCATCAGTGCTCTGCTCTGCTCTGTGACTTAAGTGTAGCCTAGGGTCGTCTTCATCTAAGGGAATCTAAGATGAAAGGCAGAAACAAGAATACCGTTTTCGTCTGCTAGGTGAGAGACGTCGAATACACTTTCTCAGAACAGAACAGTGTGCTACCTACCTGCCCAGCGTTGAGTTTAAGGAAGGTAAAATATGCACTGCAAGACAGCTTGTACAGGCTGAAGATTCGATCTACAACTTTCCTCCACACTTTAATAACTCCTTCTGTTGCACTTTCATCAAGTTCTGAAAGCCACGGGCAGCTTGATATTAACTGACGCCAGATAACATCAACCATGTCGTCTTCCTCGTTATCTTCACCTTCTGTTATCTGAAGCGTTATATCTTCATCCTGAAGAAAATTTGGGCATAAAATGCTATTGAACACAAACTGAAAAGGGGAAAAAAGGTATATGATTTTCCTATTCTACAAAAGCATTTTTCTCATTGATGAAAAATTCAATTACTTCACACTTAATTTTATACATGCTAAACCAGTATTAATACACTCCTCTGTATGATGTTTTACTAACGTAGCTAATGAAGACGACTCCGGTGTTTTGCACCTTAAACGCTTCCAAATTATAATGTGATGTTCTGCCGGCAGAACATTAAACATAATCTGTTCAGAAGGTTGAGGCTAAATGTTCACAGAATTCACTCTCAACAGACCCTGCTCTCTTCATAGTACTGGGCATGTACAGAACACCAGCTCTGGCAGACAGCGATACATGCTGAAGTCCAGAGCAAGACGAGGTTAGGTTAGTGAATAAAATCCCAACTTTTAAAGTCTGTATCTACTCAGTAGTTGTGACATTCTAGAATTGACAGAACTCTGAGCAGAGAGGGAATAAATCCTACAGCTCGTTTAGTTCACTAGATTTCAACTCTGGCTGTGAAGTACAATCACCTAGTAAGCTTAAATACGTGCGCACATGTCCCACTCAGCTATCTGGGGTGGTATGCAGGCACTCGTGTAGTTTAAAAAGGTCCCAATCGGGGCGCCTGGGTGGCGCAATCGGTTAAGCGTCCGACTTCAGCCAGGTCACGATCTCGCGGTCCGTGAGTTCGAGCCCCGCGTCGGGCTCTGGGCTGATGGCTCAGAGCCTGGAGCCTGTTTCCGATTCTGTGTCTCCCTCTCTCTCTGCCCCTCCCCCGTTCATGCTCTGTCTCTCTCTGTCCCAAAAATAAATAAACGTTGAAAAAAAAATTTTTTTTTTAAATAAATAAAAAAATAAAAAAAAATAAAAAGGTCCCAAGCTAGTGTTAAGAACCTAATTTCTGGGGCGCCTGGGTGGCTCAGTCGGTTGAGCATCCGACTTCGGCTCAGGTCACGATCTCGCGGTCCGTGGGTTCGAGCCCCGCGTCGGGCTCTGGGCTGATGGCTCAGAGCCTGGAGCCTGCTTCCGATTCTGAGTCTCCCTCTCTCTCTGCCCCCCTCCCCCCGTTCATGCTCTGTCTCTCTCTGTCTCAAAAATAAATAAATGTTAAAAAAATAAAAAAAATAAAAAAAAATTTTTTAAAAATAAAAAAAAAAAAAGAACCTAATTTCTGATCAAAACACCTAAAAGAGAAATTTCATTCCCATAAAACAAACTTCACCTATTTTAATAACAGGACCTTAAAGAAATGATTTCTCAAGAAATTACATTTTTCTTAGAAAAGTATCATAACTCACTTTCATTTTAAAACTCAAAGTTCTGATTTGTAACAAAAACTGCCTAAACCCTATTCAATATTTAATCAAGTATATATATGATCAACCTCCTCGAAATCAATGAATTAAAACAGTGATCCTGACACCATTTCTCCCAACACTACATCATATTTTCCTTGCCTGAATCCCCGCTGGCCGACAGACAGCCTGTCCGAGAATACCATAAATCCTCTCTTTTTCTTCCTCAGTTATGGTGTCTGGAAGCAGATTCTGAACTTCAGATTTTTCTCTAGGCAGCAGACGAACACCTTCTCCCTGACTATAAAAATAAACAAGTCACTAGTTGCAGCTATCAAAACATGCCATGTCAAGTTACCAAAACCTGTCAGCAGACATTTTCTGTCTCTATTTTGCAATGCATTAGCTAAGTTACACATTTTGACATACGTACCTGGCATTGTCAACTACCTTTCTGCCCCACCTATAAGCCCAACTAGCCAACGCTGCCCAGGATTTGGCTACTTCAGGTGCCTGTACTGAAGATAGGTGATACAACTGTCCCAAAATGTAGTCAGGCTCTCCAACTCCAATATGCACTGCCATGATGGACAAAAAAATAAAAATAAAAATAATGAAAGAACTCAGCAACTCTACATTCATAAATTTCTAACGGCACTCCCATTAACATTTTGGGGTTTTATTATCTGTAAGCTATCAGTAAGTTCCAGAATATTACAGTGCAAAATTTGACAAAGGAACACATTTCATACTATGCTTTTTGAAAAGGCTAATAAATTGAAATCAACCACTCAGCTTCCCAAGTCGGCTTAAATTATCACCCTGTAAACCACATAAATATCTTTCATGACACTTTACATAAAAACAGTTCAGGTGTAAATTATGCAAAGAGCCTAAATGTCCATCAACTGACGAATGGATAAAAAAATTGTGGTTTAGGGGCGCCTGGGTGGCGCAGTCGGTTAAGCGCCCGACTTCAGCCAGGTCACGATCTCGCAGTCCGTGAGTTCGAGCCCCGCGTCGGGCTCTGGGCTGATGGCTCGGAGCCTGGAGCCTGTTTCCGATTCTGTGTCTCCCTCTCTCTCTGCCCCTCCCCCATTCATGCTATGTCTCTCTCTGTCCCAAAAATAAATAAACGTTGAAAAAAAAATTTTTTTTTTTAAAAATTGTGGTTTATATACACAATGGAGTACTACGTGGCAATGAGAAAGAGTGAAATATGGCCCTTTGTAGCAACATGGATGGAACTAGAGACTGTTATGCTAAGTGAAATAACCCATACAGAGAAAGACAGATACCATATGGTTTCACTCTTATGTGGATCCTGAGAAACTTAACAGAAACCCATGGGGGAGGGGAAGGGAAAAAAAAAAAGAGGTTAGAGTGGAAGAGCCAAAGCATAAGAGACTGGTAAAAACTGAGAACAAACTGAGGGTTGATGGGGGGTGGGAGGGAGGGGAGGGTGGGTGATGGGTATTGAGGAAGGCACCTTTTGGGATGAGCACTGGGTGCTGTATGGAAACCAATTTGACAATAAACTTCATATATTGGGAAAAAAAACAGTTCAGGTGTCAGATGTGTTGTGCAATGTCTTGAATTATGGATATGACTGGTTACTTATGATTAGATTAAGCTGAAGCATTCTGGGAAAAGTAATACATAGGTGATAAGTATACAATCTCATTCAATCAGAAATTCATGAGGTAAATGTCTTTATCCACAGTTCAGAAGTAAAGAAATCACCTGCTAGAATGTCATATGCCAATGTAAGATTTTTTTTTTTTTTCCAACGTTTATTTATTTTTGGGACAGAGAGAGACAGAGCATGAACGGGGGAGGGGCAGAGAGAGAGGGAGACACAGAATCGGAAACAGGCTCCAGCTCCGAGCCATCAGCCCAGAGCCTGACGCGGGGCTCGAACTCACGGACCGCGAGATCGTGACCTGGCTGAAGTCGGACGCTTAACCGACTGCGCCACCCAGGCGCCCCAACCAATGTAAGATTTATAATAGTCACTAGACATATCCCTTATATCAAGACTATATAATATACAGATGAGAATGATTTCATAAGACCAATGTAAGAAATCAAAGTCCTACGCTTCATAACAACGATAATGAAAGTATATTCTCATGCTTTGGCAAAGAGGTTAATTATCTCCCACTCTGTAAAACATGGACAACGGTACCTACCATAACAGGCTCTCCAACACTGAATTAACTACCCTATTTGTCAAGTACCCTATTATTAGCACTAGTGTCAAAATGTGAAACTTTCATCTTTCAGTAGTTTCTGGGCTCTATCACCCAAGGAGACCACAGGGTACTATTATCTGTCTTTGTTGCTCCTTCTAGTGTGTGGTGACATTTAGCTTTCTGGGGCAGGGCCGTCTTGCCAGCAAAAACATCTAAGTGCATAAAAGCACCGTGGTTAGGGAAGGCCTGGTGGGCAGAGTTTTAAGTGACTTGCACGGTAGCATTAGATACTACAGAAATGTGTTTTACTTACTTCCAGGCAGTAAAATACACTAAATTTCCATAGAAACAATTTCTGTGGCAAATTACAGCCAGTATAACATTGTAAACTTTAAAACAGGGAGAAATAACTTCTAAAATTAATATTTAAAAAAATTTTTTTTAACATTCATTCATTTTTTGAGGGACAGAGAGACAGCACAAGCAGGGGAGAATCCAAAGCAGGCTCCAGGCTCTGAGCTGTCAGCACAGAGCCCGGTGTGGGGCTTGAACTCATGAAACACGAGATCATGACCTGAGCCAAAGTCGGACGCTTAACTGACTGAGCCACCCAGGCACCCCTAAAATTAATATTTTAAAGCTAATAAAAATAAAGATATCCTACCTGTAGATTCGCTCTCTATCCGAGGATATTCTTCTTCCATCGTATTAACAGATGGCAGTTCTATTAAAGCTAGTATGTTTTTAGACAAAGTAGAAAGACCTGTGAAGTTTTGCTGTTGCTGAGCTCTATAAACCTGTTTCAGCTGCCCTGAAATTTCTTTCCATTCTGCCTGGATCCATTTAGCTAGTGTCAGAATGGACTTGGCAACCGCATATTCAGCTTTGGCAGACTTGCAGAAAGATATGGCACAAGAACTCAACATTTCCATTGCGTGTGTTGACTGGCCTACAGAAAACCAAAAATCAGACCTTAGCTTTATATGCAAACGATTAACAGTATTTCGGGATAAAGTGACAATGTAAATTCAGTGGTAATCAATGATCTCCAGAAACATTTCTTACTTGAATACACCAAAATTACCTCTTTTAAAAGCCCCAAATTATAGAGATAAGTCAATTACAGGTAATTTATTATTCAGGACACAAATGTTGTGCCACAGCTGAAAAAAACCCAACTTTTATTGCCTGACATCATACACATTAACATTCATACACATGATTTTTATTTTGTTATATACTAACCACAGTTCATTTTACTAACCTGCTGTATACAGCAATTTGGTTTTTTCAATGTCAAGTTCAGGCCCCCATTTTTCATCCACTTGACCTTGAGTTGATAGTTTTTTAAAATGCTGGACTAAATCCTGAGCAGTGGTAGTCTTTCCCAGCTGAACCTCACTACACTGTGCCAGCAGTCTTGTTGCAAGTGACACATTCCCTCGTTTTCTAGCAAATTTTGCTGCTGTTAGACCTAATTCCATCAGATGGCTTCTAATTGGAACTGTTTGTTCTGGAGAGAAGAAAACGTTTCATTAGTCCTTGATGGGTCTAGTCGCAGACTGCACGGAAACATGGCCAAAAATTCTTCCCCAACTATTTATTTTCCCTTCCCTACCACCTCCTTAAAACAAGATAACTCATTTTTCACCATCTTTAAATCCCTAGCAGCTAGCATGGTGCTTGGCATGCAACAGACAATAAATGTTTATTGGAATAAATGTATACAATGAAGCTGACAAAAGTAAAAATGATTTACTCTAAGAGATCGGCTTTTCAGTTTCTAGATCTTTTTAGTAAAGGGCTCAGGCCAAAGAGTGGGAAGTGAGGGTAAAGCTAGACCATCCTCCTTCATGTAGAAGTACCCTCTGCCCTTTTATCACGCCATTCTCTCCGAGTTTACTCCTACCTTTCTGATGAACCCTCAGTCTCCTTCCTCTCTACTACCCATCCATTAAAACTGATGTTCCTAGGGGTCGATCCTAGGCTTTCTATTCTTCTTACTCTGCATATTCTCCCTGGACAATATCATTTGCTTCTGTAGTTTCAATTACCATGCAAATGCTGATGACTGTGGAGTCTTCATCTTGAGCCCAGACCTGACATCTGAGTCCCACCTGCCTACCAGTTCACCTACAGTCAGGCATTTCAAGGGTACTTCAAATTGTGTCAAGTTAAATCCATTTTCTGCCACCCTCCAAACACTCTACTTCCTTCTCCTGTTTTTCCTTTCTTGAGGAACATAATCAACCTGGCTACCTGAGCAGATGCCTGGCAGCCGTCACAGGACTTCACTTTCAGCCCTCCTATCACATCTACTTTTTGTCTATCCCTATCACACTACCTTGGTTACCTTTAGCAGGGACTTTAGCCTAATGGGTCCCTCTGCCCCCAGTCTTCTCCTCTTCTAGTCCATTCTCCAACCTGCAACTGAAGTCATCTTATACAAAGATAAATCTGAACACTTAACTTCCCTCTGAAGGCTTCCCATTGCCCAGACAAAATCCCAACTCCTGAATTTATCTTGAAAGGCACTGATGCTTTACATTTCATTCCAATCTCAGTCTCCTTCAGCTTCCTCTCTTCCCATTCTCCCTTAGGCAAACTGAGTCACCTAAGAATCTTTCATTATTGCCACTGGCCTTCCCATGTTTTTTCCAGCCAAATGGCCCACCACCTTCCTTCTCATCTCTACCTCCCTCAGGTATCAGATTAAATGTTACTTCTTCCCCAAATCCTTTTCCGACTGATTCTTAGGATTAAATCGGTGCTCTTGTTTTATGTTCTTTCAGCACCATGTACGTGCACTTCCAGTCAGCACACCACTGCTGTTCCTTGTACGACGTCAGTTTTCCCTGCTAGACTCTAGAATCCCTTTGGTCCTAGGAATGCAGAAAACAGTCTTGTTCACCATTACATCCCAACTTCGAGCACAATACCTGGCACAAAGCACACTTGCCGAAGAAAAAAAGGCAAGGCGGAGTGGAGTTTTGTCTCAAATATAACCGCTGAGTTACTGACTTTTTATTCCCAATTTTAAAACTTGTTCAATATGGGAAGGATGAGAAAGAAGATGATATTTGTAGTCCTACTATATGCCATGCTCTGCACCAGGGCTTTTATATGCCTTATCTCATCTCCCATAATCCTTACAAGAATCTCCTCAGCAAGGCAATACCCAGAACTGAAAGGGAATGTGACTCAGAAGTTTAATGACTTGCCCTAAGGTCCTTCCATCTGCAAAAGTTGGGCTAACGATCCAACCCAAATATATACAGCACTGAGAGTCCAGGAGAGTCGCAGTTCCCAGTAATCACTCTGCAATGCGAGTCCACACCCCAGCATTACCTTACTTGAAATTATTATTTTTTTTAATGTTTATTTATATTGAGAGAGAGAGAGAAAGAAAGCGCACGTGGGCGTGCCAGTTGGGGAGGCAAAGAGAGAAGGGGAGAGAGAGAATCCCAAGCAAGCTTTGTGCTGTCAGTGTAGAGCCCTGACACGGGGCTTGATCTCACAAACCGTGAGATCATGGCCTGAGCCAAAATCAAGAGTTGGGAGCTTAACTGAATGAGCCACCCAGGTCCCCCTGAAATTTAATACTCAAATGTATTCAGTAATCTTAGCTACCGCAATTTTCAACTACAATTCTACAACTTTGCCAGAATTCTGGCAACTTTTCCATTTTCAAGCAATAAATTGCTAACACCCTTTTAACATAAGAGACGTTTCTTTCTTAAAAATGAGATCTACTAATATTTATACAAATACTAATTGTCAACTCATTTGGAGTGTTTAAAACTTAACATCCACAGTCCATTATATCTGACAAAGAATTCATATCCAGAACAAATAAACAAGTTTATGACTTGACTAAAAACGGACAAGATTTAAACACTTTAAAAAGTAAGATACACAGTGGTCACTATGCAAATGAAGAGGCTCAATCTCATTAATCATCAGGAAAATGCAAACAAAACCGCAATGAAATACTACTATACACTGGTGCCAGGTGACTAAAATTAAAGACCAACACCACCAAAGATAGAGACACAAGAAGAAATGTAAAATGTACAAACACGTTCTAAGAACTCGCCAACTTATTTTTTTTTTTCAACGTTTTTTATTTATTTTTGGGACAGAGAGAGACAGAGCATGAACGGGGGAGGGGCAGAGAGAGAGGGAGACACAGAATCGGAAACAGGCTCCAGGCTCTGGGCCATCAGCCCAGAGCCTGACGCGGGGCTCGAACTCACGGACCGCGAGATCGTGACCTGGCTGAAGTCGGACGCTTAACCGACTGCGCCACCCAGGCGCCCCAACTTATTTTTAACGTTGAACCATTACGACCCAACAATTTCACTAACAGGCATTTAGTCAAGAGAAACACAAATATATGTCCACCCAGAGACCTGTACACGAATTTCACTGCGGCTCTACACATAATAGCCCACATTTTAAAACAACTCCAGGATCTATCCAAAGAACCAGATAAATTATGGTGCATCCATCAAATGGACACTACTCAACAACACAAAGGATCACACTACTGATACACACAACACAGGTGAACCTTGAAAATAAAGTGCCGAAAAGAACCCAGACACAACAGAGTTGTATGATCCCATTTATACAAAACTTTAGTTAAGACAGGTCTAATCTACAGTGACAGGAAACAAATCAGCACTTGCCCAGGACAGGACACATGGGAGAGGCGACTGGGTAGAGGCATAAGAAAAACTTTTTGCGGTGATATAAATGTTCTAGATCTTGAACGAACTGGTGGTAAAGATCTGTCAAAACTCACGGATCTGTACATGCCAAACGTGTAAATTATATCTCAATCAAAGCTATTTAAAAAAATCCAAGCTAATTACCTTTTATCTTCTCCAACAACTGACTCTGGTACATGGTATATCTTAAGGCCTGCATCCACGGCCTCACATCATGCTGTTTACATGAACGCAGAGCTTCACTGAAGAGTGGAATAAGACAATCCTGCCAGAGAAAAACCAAAACTACTTAATGCAAACAGACTCCATGCATGTTTGTAGACCGAGTTAACCTGCATCCCCTTAAACCAGCTACTCAGCTCTACTTGTCTATTCAACTCCCCCCTTTCTTCATTTTATCTTCTAATCACAAGAGGAAAAGAGACGTTCTAAGATAAATCTTTGCTTTGCCTTAAAAAGAAAGAAAAAATCAAGTCCAATTTATCAATAAAGCACATTTTTATAAAAATAAACACAAGCATATTAAGTATAAAACAGAAGTTAGATTACAGAGAAACATAAAACTACCACTTTATTAGCAGATTCTCAAAGATTCTAATTCCCTTGGGAAGGGCCCATCTTTGGTTAAACTGTCCCCTATCTGGAAGGATGGGGTGTCTTTTTTTTTTTTAAAGTATGTTCTTCATCCAACATGGAGCTTGAACTCAAGACCCCGAGATCAAATGCTCTACCACCTAGCCAGCCAGGCACCTTGCGGGTATCTTCACTAATCAAATCTAAAATTTGTAACACCTGTCAAACGGAAATATATTTACATACACTCTCTTCTTCCAAAAACAAACAAACAAAGGAAAAAATTAAGCAATTAGCCATCCTTAAAACTCTCTATCTTTACTTCCTCCATCTGCCTCATACACTTCTCAAATGAAAATGTGCCTGAAAATGGCATTTTGGATTTCTGTATTTACTACCTTGTCCAACAAATGCTACAAATACTATTTTAAAAATTAAAAAAAAATTTTTTTTTCAAAGAAATCTTTTTCTACACAAATGCCTATTAATGTTCACAAAAATATCCTGATAAAAATACACACATACACACCTCTGTTGAAAGTCTGTTAGAAACTGTGTTCTCCAGAGCAGAAGAGCAATACAGCTGTAAGGTACTTAGAACTGGCAGAGACTGTGAAACCGTTAAAGTAGAAAGTCTCAGGGGTCCAATAGCTATGCGGGAGGTTTGCTTCAAGTACTTTACCACATTTCTGAAACAAAATATATACTGTTAATTAACAAATGAGATTTTCCAGCCGGTAATCACTGAAGAGATAAGGCAGTTTGATAAGATGCTACCACAGTGGCATCCAAAGAGGGGAAAGGAAGAAGAGCTGTCTGCCCTTTAGTAAAATGACACAAGCAAGTCAAGACATGCTTCTGTGGATTTCTACAGTTTATTTAGTTTCAACCTCTATATATGCTGGCAAGGGGCACTCACGTTTCACGCGACTTCTACAACGAAAACGAAGCTATCATGACTAACTAGCATTGTAGTGAACTGTTAAGTGATTCATCGCCAAGTACGTACATTCACCATATGGTACACACAGTGCACATTAACCTCCTTCGGATTAAACTTACTCAGTTATGGACTGCCACTTCTGGTCTTGTTCTATATGGTTTAGAGCAGTTGCCAAACAAACAGAACTTCGCAACAACTGAACCTCAATCGATTTCTGAAGTTCCTTTGGATCTGGGCTTAACATGTTAGGAAGCAGTTTTTTCATATCTACAGAGAAGTTAAATAAATTCTGTTAAGTTGTTTTTAACGTGTTAAGAATGATAAGACATTTTAACAGTATTAAAAAGTTATCACTGATGAATACATTCTTTCGTATTTAAGCTCAGCCAGCTGAACACTATGATGAAGCATTTCTGAGAGCTATATAAAAGTCACAGTCTGCATTCAAATTATATCTCACACCCACCCGAATCAGCTGATTTCCCAAGTTCGAAAATCAATAAACCAACATATGCTACATTTTAAAGGGGCAAATCTACACCTATTTTGCAAACCTTACTGAATTTGGCAAAGCGGTGCTAACACACAAAGTACTCACAATACTAATTTTAGTGTAGTATTTTACAGAATGTGCCAGTTGGGGTAAAGAAATTAACGAACCACATTAAGACGCTAAGAAAAATATTTAGCTTAAACACTGAACTTTTTCAAACATGGCCAGATAAATCTCCAAGTCTTATGACAGTCTTTTTAAGTTAGATTAACTTTAATTAAACTGTTTCCATTTGCCAAATCAAATGTAAGTAAAACAGCCCTACAAATGTTCCTTCGCATGGGACTCTGCCCCAAAATAAAATGTACAAAAACCTCCCGTTTTTCCAATAAAATACTAAGCCAAATATTTTGGGCAACTTGTCCATAAAATACCTAATTTTAAGATTATTATCTCAAATACCTATTTTCTCTTTTGATCCTCCAGCAAGTAGATTGACATTTTCTCCTGGTAACAATTCTAACTGCTCAGTACATTCAACAAATTCTCCAGATTCAAAACTGCTTAGTGATCTGTAATTAAAACATCAGTTAGCTTACATCACACCCTATCCAGCCTGTGCAATCATTCAAAAGAAAGGCAGAACAAATTCTGGAAAAAGCCCAGTTACACAGCATTCTTTTGGTGAAGTTCCTTCTACGTAGGCCATCATTTTATTTCTATTTTGAAGATGGGACTACCAACTTAATTAGCACTAAAATTGGAGTGGCAAACCAGAAAGCCACAACTATAGACATTCAGTTTAGCACGCTCACCTGTCCTCTTTTTGTAGTCTGTTATCCTCCGGGCCCATCCAACAAACTGACAGACCGCTGCAGGGCAATGGCAACATCTGATTCTCCCCAAGCTACTTCTCAGTTCCCTACGCGACCCCATTCCCTACCTAAAGCCTAAGCCCCTGGAGGGCTCCTGTCCTACTATCTCAGGGCTCCATCCTCGTCCTGCCTCCTTTCACTGCTGGCCATCCTCCCTCTCTCCCTTCTCCAACGTGTCTCACGGAACCTGTTTCTCTTCTTTCAGAGAATTCTTCCTTTCCATCTCCTCACCTTATCTGAAAATGGTGGCACCTCTGAAACCCCTTTAGTCCTGCAGCATCCATGTGAGGAGAGGCCCTCTCCTAGCTCCTTCCTGCTACTTTCAGATCACTCACTCTGTTCCCATTCCTACTACAGCTGATTTCCAACCAAGAAGATGACTTAGTTTCTCATCTCTTTCTATTCTATTAATCTCTCATCTTTTCCTGTCCCTCTCACTGTGTCACCTGCCTTACAACTCAGCTTGAAGCCAGCACTGGAAATATGACATCAATAACTGCACCTGCCTCTACTGTAGAAGCTCCAAGCCTGGATTAAGGTAAATGCCAGCTTCTCACGTAAGCTGTAACTGAAGAACTGTCAAGGTTTGGTGACAGCACCCTGATCATTCCGGCCACTACTGGATCTGAGTCCTCTCCAGGGGCAGGTTCCCGTGTCCCTCCCCACTATTCTCTACAATGCCCTCACACTGTCAGCTAATGATGGACTCCTTGAAGAAAAAAAAAAAAAAAAAAAAAACCATAAAACAAACAAAAAGCCCAACCATCTATCCTCTACCCTTTCATTTCCTCTCCCCTTACCTCTAATCCACCATCTATCCACTCCCAAAACAGTCTATATCCAACTTCCGCTGCTTTCCTTGAGGCACAAAAAAAGTAGGGCCCAGTTGATCCTTCAATGTTATTTATCCTGTTTCTTAAACCTCTGCTTTCCTGTCACTCTTTCCCGTAAACTTGAAAGAACACTAAAACTCTCCAATATTTCAGGTAACTACACAACATTCTCCTCCAGCCACAGCCTCCTCCTCTCCTTGACTTCAGGAAAAACTCACCACCCAAGTAACCTAACTAAAGCTTTTGATTTTCAACTTTCTCCACCACTCAATAGTACTACTCAACCCAGCTGCTTCTCGTGATCTCTCTCTACAAAGCTCTTCTTGCTGGTCATCTCTGGAGCTTCTGACGAGACTGACTATTCCAGTCTGCTTCTCCCACATCTTGGACTTTTCTCTCCTCAGTGTCTTTCTGTTCTTATCAGTGGCTTCCTCTCCCTTCCTGGAACAAAGATGCTAGTAAGGATTCTGACCTTGGCCTTCTTTCCTTTTCACTCACCCTTCTCCAGAGCTTAATCTGTGATTTCGTGGCTTACCAAGGCTCTGGAGTATAAAGTGTGAAGAGAAAAAAAATGCCTTTTACTGTCACCTATATGCTAATGAACCCCCGAATCACTCTCTAGCTTAGACTTTTCTCCTTTGTTCCAAATCCAATTCTTAATTGCTTACTACTCTCCTCCGCATGTTTCATATGCACCGTAAAAACACCTCCTGGTTCTGTGTGCTCCTGCTTCAACTAACAGTGTCTGTCCTCCCTCCACCTTTGTCCCACAGATAAATGGTCTACATGCTGCCACCCCCGTCGTCCACCTCCAGTCTCTTCCCAACAGCAGGGGGAATGACTAAGTCAAATCACGACATGCCTCTCCTGTTCAAATCTCACCTAAGATTTTCCATATTACTGGGAGTCAAAGTCCTTCTCCCAGTTCCCCATCTACCCTCTATCCTGATCTCCTATTATTGACTCTGCTTCAATAATAGTGGCCTCTGGGCCACTTTCTGGGCCATTTCCAGAACACTCAAAGCACATTATTCTTTCATCAGATCTGTTTCCTTAAGTCTTCGCCCAAATGTCATGCTGATGGCATTCCCAACCTTGTCTATCTGCCTGTGTGTCCCTCTAGAAGGGAACTCCTCAAGAGTCGGAATTCATGTTTCATGAGGTGCTACACCCCACTGCCTGGCACATAGTACATGCTCAATGGAAAAATTACCCATTAACCCATTTGCTCCCTAGAAGCTGAGCTCCACAATGGGAAGGACAGCTAACGACTCCTGTGTCCCAACCTCTTGGGGGTACACAAATTTTGATTTAAGAAATTCAGTACATATATTTTGGTTTTTGTTTTTTAATTTTAATATTTATTTAAATAATATCTACACCCAATATGGGACTCTAACTCATGACCCTGAGATCAAGAACTGCATGCTCTACCGACACAGCCAGCCAGGGGCTCCCAGTACCTACATTTTGAATTAAGGGATTAATAAATGCACAGAGAAATATGGAGATGAAAAGAAAGGGAGCTGATTTTATAAATGTTCATAAACTCTGTCCTCTCAAGAATATTTTTGAGAAGTTCATTTTTTTCTAATGTTTCCTTATTTTTGAGACAGAGCGTGAGCAGGGAAGGGGTAGACAGAGAGGGGGACACAGAATCCAAAGCAGGCTCCGGGCTCCAAGCTGTCAGAACAGAGCCTGACGTGGGGCTTGAGCCCACCAACCGTGAAAAGTCATCAAATGTGACCCTTCCTAAAGCAGTAACAAATTTGCTTCCACTCCTTTTGATTTTAAAACCATAAGCTCTGAGAATGAAGATCAAATGACCGTTTCAACAGTTAACAAGTCTGTTTTCCACCGTATGAGTATCTTCCTCACATCTAACGCTGGTTTCTCGTTGTAGTCATTTTTTGAACAGCAGTATTACTAGAACTTCAAACATGCTGCAGTAGTAGATGGTACCAATTTTAATATTTTTCTGCCAGAGAGGCAGACTTTAAGGTTGCTGAAAATTTATTTAGCTGAAAAACAGTCCTTACTTTATGTAGTTGAAATCAGCCTTTAGGTTGAGAGAAGTGCTGCTGGTACTCTTTTTCAGGTCGTGGATAGCATTCTGCCAGTCCTGCACGGCAGCCCAGTCCGCAATGGAAATGTAACACTCACATGCTTTATTTCCCAAATAATTTATAACCTCAGGGGAAGAGTCCGTTGATTTGGATAGCACAGTTTTCCTGGATTCACCTGAGTAAATGTATTTTATAAAACAGAGAGATCCAGGGAAGTTATAAATATTTTAACGAGCAGAGAAATCTAAACTATACAACAGGATCATTAATACAAACTATCTGAGCGTATACGACTTTTTATTTAAATCCGGGACGCTCACCATTCAGAGAATGTTTGGGGCTGGCACTGTTTCGCCCAGCGTTGGCCAACGTGAGAACGGATTTGTCGAAGCTGGAGACGCAGCAATCAACACCTGTCATGGCACACAGGTGCTCCTGGTACTCCACAGAGGCCTTCTCAAACCTTCAATGCAAATTCAAATAGTCCTTACTTTTAAATTAGCCACAGACTTCATTTCCAAAAAAACTAAAAAAAAAATTAATCACTCAAATAAACTGAGCAGAGATAACGAATTAATTATTTTGTGTGGGGTGGGGTGCACGAAATTAGATTTTTTTCCTCACAACAAATGAAAATAAATGTACACACTATTAAAGTTTTTTTAAAGGCAGTATAAAATAACAGAAAATATTAAGTATCTGATCTCATTATATGCCAAGGCTAAGTAGAAGAACAAGTTTTAAAAAAGAATTCATAAAGTAACAGATACTAATGGTGTAATTTAAAACTTCCAGGTATGAAAAAACACCATAAACATTAAAAACAAATTATAAATCAAGAAATTAGACCGCATCAACAATCCTGCTCTATCAGTATAGCAGGATTTCCTATACTTGACATACCAGTATAGGAAAATATGAGAGGCCATGAAGACAAAAACCTCTGTTTTTAAAAATCACATATGGTCAATAGAACTTAAGGGGAAAGTTATATTAATCATTACTAAAAACATGTAAATTAAAACAAATTATCTTCACTGATGACGGTGGCAGGGTGGTTGTTTCTCAGTGACCCTCACTATTCACAACAGCAAAGGGAAGGGGTTACTCTATCATTAAGGATATAAAATGGAATCTCTTTTCTGTACAATAACTTTGCAACAGTATGTATCATAAGCCTTAAGGTCTGTAGCCTTTCTTCTAGTAAATCAACTTGCAGGAATGAATTCAAAGAAAAGAAACAAAATTATAAGCTATAGCTTACTATGAAGAATTAAGTGCTATGGTACATTAAGATTAGTAAAAAACATCAGAAACAACCTTACTGTCCAAGAATAAGGAAAGTTAAATTATGGTGCACTCACAAAAAATACAACTGCGTCATTAAAAATAACATTGTAGAATATTTAACATGCCAAAATATTTTTTTAAAGGTTAGTGAATATACAAAATGATGTGAGTAGCAGAAACACAGCCATTTCTGAGAAACATGGGGAGAAGACTGTATATAAAAGAAAAAAGAACTATAGAGGCACGTACACCAAAACTAACAGTTATCACTCGCAGATGTAATTACGAGTTCTTCTATTTTTCCCACATTTTCCAGACTTGGGAAAACGGACATAAATATACACAGTCTGTTGCAATACATATTCATTTACCTAGAGAATGTGTGCACAGGGCTAATGAGCAAGCCCTCTAGCCATGAAGGACAGTTTGTACCAGACTCTGACAAGAAAGGTTATCAATCATGATGCAAGTAATTGGCAGATCTTATTTTAAGGAGGATTTCTTAATAATCTGTAAGTAAGAAAGGCATCTAAGTTTTGCTATTAAAGAACAGACTAAAGATGACCCCTAGTAAAGTGATTCACAGCGAGTTTCAATTGCTGAAATTGAACAAAGCTGTTTTAACATTTAACTACAATGTTATCCAGGAATACAGAGGGTTTAAATGTAAAGGTATCCCATTACCAATTTCCTACCTTCCAACTTACCTCCCTTCTGCCTGCTGGGCCACTGAATTAATCCAGAGAAGATTCTTGCCAGCAATGGAGGATGACCAGACAGCAATTCCCTGTATGGCTTCAGGACAATGCAGCTCACACAGAGCTTCTACCACCATCATGATGGTTACTTCCAATTCATTCCCCTGGAAGTTCATTCACAACAATTAACCACAGACCTCAATACCATTAAAATTCAAGCATCTACTAAATTTACAACCATTGATCACAACCGAAGCCCATTTAAAAGCACGTGTATTTAACAATTATTTTTACAACATTACATTATTAGCTTAGAATTCTTGAAATTTCACATATACTATGGCTACAAAATGTAACTGACACAAGCTTAACAGCAGATGGTGTCAGGCTTTACAAAGTAAAAAAAAGTTACCCAAATTTAAACTGTGCTATCTGTAGGAGTAACATATGCAGTAAATATAAAGCAAAAGTCAAATATAAATAACCATGAACTAAAGGATGATTAATTTTATGTCTGAATATTGCCTACTGCTATTATCGAATTAAGAAACATTTGTTATTTTTGGATTCCAATTGTTTATTGAACCCATTTATAAACGAGCACTCTTCCCATTCATTATAACATTATATACACTTCCGCATACGTTAAAAAACTACTACCTGCACTCTCCTGTACATTATAGTTACTAAAAATGATTACAAGAACTATTTCTTCTACAAGTTTCTTAGAACTACCTTTAAAGTTCCAAGCCCTTAAACATTTGACATGTTCTAAGCACAAAATATGAATAGTGACTTGGAACAGAAATTTTAACTTATTTCATTCATAAATTAAATCACAACCAAGGAATTAAACTCAACTTTTTCTAATCAACAGATTTAAAATTAACTCCAGATACACTTTACCTGAGATAGATTTGTCTTCATTTCTGTAAGCAAGTCAAAGCCATGCCTCACTGTCACAGCAGGCTGGCCTGCCAACAACCCAACCCTCATAATGGAGAGTCGGATCCGCGTCAGCCAGTCTTGACAAGTTTGGCGATTGGTATAGAAAAAAGTCCTAATGACCTTTAGAATAAAGAAAAAGAAGAGCTCACGGTTGGTTAAAATTTTAGGTACAGACGTCTCAAATACACAAGACTACTGGGATTTCAGCTCTGCACACACTGCCAGGCTTGACCATGAAACTGCTACAAAGCAACACTCAACCCACTGGAACCAACCTTGGGAGGTGACGTTAATGCGTTAGCGCACCCCTCATATGCGTTATACATTAACTTCTCCAGATTTTCCAGATACTGCAGAAGAAGAACAAGTCTAAGCTGGTTGCTACTGTGGCCTTCATCATTGTCTGCAGTTGTCCACTGACTAACATCTTGATCGGGGTTTAACGTGTGAGCCGCGAGACTTCTAATGATACCTTAAAGCAAAGACAGAATTCCATATTTAAAAGACATTCTAGAAGTTAGAGATAATTTCACAAATTCCTATTTGTCAAGCATCCTCTCTAACCTACCATTTAAAAACAAAATTCACAACATGAAAGGTCTTTTATTTTAGGGGGAAAAATGTTTTAACACAAATCCCCTAGTTTTTTTTAACAAAAAAAGACATCCATGCTGTTGTCAACACAATTATTCAATGAAAGGTTATTTTAGCAAATATTATCTGAAAGACTGATCAATTATTGAGGAATAAAAAAGCATATAACCTCAAATCTCTGAACAAAGATAAGAAACCCTTTTGTTTTTAAAGGCTATTTATTTATTTTGAGAGAGAGAGAGAGAGAGAGAGAGAGAGAGAGAGAGCACACACAAGTGGGAAGGGCAGAAAGAGAGGGAGAGAGAGAATCCAAAGTAGGCTCCACGCTACAAGTACAGAGCGCAAAGAGGGGCCTGGTCCCACAAACCATGAGATCATGACCGGATCCGCTATCAAGCCTATGACACTTAACTGACTGAGCCACCCAGGAGCCCCCATCATTTCTTAATATAGGGTTTAAAGGTACTTCTATCACCAAGTTTGAAAAAAGCACAAAGCCACTTACCTTCAATTGTCTGGAACGTATCCTGAGCTCTGCCCAGTGGGGTTCTCAACTTAGAAAGCACAGTGAACTGTGCTGCTTCCCAAATAGCCCACTGCCAAAGAACGGCATCTGTCTTTAGAAGATTTCGGGGAATTGTTGATTGGTCACGCTTATCCAGTCTCTGGCAGCTATAGAACAATCTTTCTAACCAATTGTCCTTCCTGGGAAAAGGAGTTTCATATTTAACAGACAATGACAACTTCATTAAATAAAAAAAAATAAAAAATAAAAAAATTTGCAAGGGGAACAGGCGTAGGGGACTACAATTTTTCCTAGTTCAAAAGGAAAAACCCTTAACACTGAGAAGCATTATATCCCTACCTTTCATGCTGAGGAGGTCTTTTACAGTTAAAACAGGATGGGGTACGATGTGGAAGGATTATTACGGTAAATGGCCCATGAGAATTTGGCTACCAGGATAAAACATTCACTGCAACTCAGCACCTGCAGAATGACTATGTCCCCAGGCCTCTCCTCAAGCATTAATGACTAAGTCAGAACAGTTAACTGTCAAACATATTTCATCACTCAATTTTAAAGCCCATTTTTGTTTCTTCAGATGCTATCTTCGAAGCAATTCTTCCTACTGCTGGAAACTAAAATAACCCATTTGAGAAGATATCACTTTCTATTCTGCCACTCCTGACATATTCTCTCCAAAAATGGGTGTAGGGTCAAGATATTCAAGTACATTTAGGTTGCTTTTCCCAGATGAAAGAGTCAAAGAAAATCTTACCCTGTTCTATGAGAATTCCCATATAAAATAAAACTAATAACATCAGAGAAATCTTGTGGGTGGAATGTGTTACTCGGTGCTTTACTCATGTGACTTCTTAATGCTAAAGAAATTTCTTGAATTTCTGTGTGACTGTTATTGCTGTAGACAGAAAATAAAGTCACTGTTACACAAAATGTTTTAGTTAACAGGCTAGTTCATACTGTAAATGGGCTATTTCCTCGCCAACTAAATGCAGAAGTAAAAAAATAAAACAGACTTCAAAACAGACACTGTAATATTATTACAGTTTCAAAATCAACCTAGTAAAAAATAAAGATTACAGTTGAGTTTTTCAAATAACTGAACTACTAAGAAACACATTTTGGCACCCTATTATATAAATTATTCAGTACTTATTACCACGAGCTTCTAAGTTTATAAAAAATATTAAACTTTGTTACTTTCTTCTAGACCTGGACAATTTGATCCTTTGACATGTCTTCAGTCACTGAGAAGTGCCACACAAGATGTGACACCGATTCACTAATAGGCAATTTGTCGTTTCTTAAACTGAAGGACTACTAGGCAGTTAAAACATAGTGGGAGGGATGTGTTTGTTCTAACACAACTGTTATACCTCAAGACAACATCTAAAGGAATTGACTTCAACAGCTTTCCAAATGCTTGTCGAATGCGAGTTCCACTGTGGACAAGCTGAACACGGCAAACATCAACACACCTACAAAAAAACGCAACAGGTAACAGAAAGAAGTGCAGCAACAGTTCCAAGGTACTAGGACCAGGGTCAGAAGATAGAAGCTTTAGTCCATACCGCTGTAGAAGATCATCTGGCAAGGAAGACGACAAAGCATGTAGACTGCTGCAGGCTTGCAGACAGATATTCACGTCTTCAACAAGAGCTATTAACAGGAATTAAAAGATACTTTCAGTTTGCCACAAGAAATCACATGCCAGTACACCATAACTTCCTGAACACACTCACTCGTTCAACAAATAGTGAGCGCCCACACTACGGACGAGGCATTGCTCCTGCCTAGAACCATCACTGGCAGTAACATCTGGGAAAACGATACGTTCAATAAAACCCACTTAAAGTTACTAGTCTTCACCCAAACCTTTTTCTGAAGGAAATTTTAAAAGTACATGGAATGTATAAATATTTTTGTAAGATTAAAAATGTGACAACCACTTAAAAACAATTTATTTTTCATGTATTAAGAATACCAAAATTTGGGGCACCTGGCTGGCTCAGTCGGTTAAGGTTCCGACTTTGGCTCAGGTCACGATCTCACAGTTTGTGTGTTCAAGCCCTGCGTCAGGCTCTGTGCTGACAGCTCGGGGCCGAGAGTCTCCTTCCAATTCTATGTCTCTCTCGCTCTCTGCCCCTCCCTGCCCACATGCGCGCATGCACACACTGCCTCCCCCCCCTCTCAAAAATAAACAAACATTAAAAAAAATAACAAAAGCTAAGACAGATTATGCATCTGCCCCGAGATGGGAATTATACATTTCATGTTATGAAAATGTTCAAGTGACTATCTTTCTCTCATTTTACTAAACACCCCTTTCAAGTGTAGATTAACAAAATCTTTAAAAATCACAGAATCTTACTGTTGGCTAAAAGGCCTTTACAAAATTTATGGAAAGATGGAAGAGAGAATAAAGGTGCATATGTTTCAGACTTCTTCATTAAAACAGCCACTTCCAAAGCCCACGTCATTAACAGTTTCCTGAAACACAAAATATACAACTGATTTTACATTAAAGAGAAAGAAAGAGAGGAAGAAAGAGAGAAAGAGAGAAAGAAAAGCTTTAAAATAATCTATTCTTCTTACATTGGTTTGCTTTTGGCTTTTTAACTATCTCAAGCAACAGAAAACAAAAATTCAAACTATAGAAATTCCTTTGTCAAAAAGTTGAATGCTTTTTAAGAAAATCTCCCCAAACCAGGTGTAGCACAGAATATAAAAAAAACTGTATAGGTACATTCTTCTACACAACTGCAGGCAGGGAGGTTTCATTCAATTCTTTCGGGAAAGAACAAGAAATCTTGGATTAAATAATAAAGCTGTATTTTCAAGTGTGTCGTAACGAAAAGGCTGCTCTACCCCACTGCCTTAAGGCTGGATTTCTTACCCTCAAATTATGTAGCTAAGTTAATGAAAGTTAAGAACACCTCATATTATGAAATTAGCACTTAGGTTACCTTGTGTCCTGGTTAAGATTATCTTTCTTAAGCAATATTCCCAGGAGATTTAATATAATTGAGAAATGTTTTTTTTGTAGCTGTAGTTACAGTACTAATCACAGCTCCATCAAACAAAGACGGGGACGAAGAACTAAGACTACTAGATATAAAGTGATCATGCCTGGAAGACAAAAGAAAAATCATCTTTCATCTCTAATTTTTTTTAAAAAAGCAGTTCCAAAGTCAACACTTTCAAGTGCCCATCTTCCCTCATAAAAATTAAAAAGAAATTATTTTAAGTATCCGTACAGCACAGTACCTGGTACAATGAGAATACAACGTGTAGAGCACTGCATACTGAATGGCAGGGAAGTGAACAGCCAAGTCACCGTGCACAATCATCAGATTCTTACTCAGGAGGGCAAAGACAGTTGGAGACAGTGCCCACATCTGATGACGTAAAAAGAGAGTAAATGTTTGTTTTCTCCAAGACACGCTTGTCCTTCAAAATATGTGCACACATTTTTAAAGTCTAAAACCACAGATTTAAATCCAGAAACAATCTAGTGCATTAAACCTGGGGTCAGCATTCACTTTTTGTGAAGAAAGTAAGTATTTTAGACTGTGCAGGTCAGGTGATATCTCTGTTGCAATGGTCACCTCTTCAACTCTGCCAGGGCGGTGAGAAAACAGCCATGGACAAAAACATAAATCAGAGTGGCTGTTTCCAGAAAAGTTTCCTTACAGAAACTTTTTATACATACCATATTTACTACATACCATATTTACTACAGTAAATATAGTATATATATACATACAATACTATACTATCTTTATACATACTATAAATCCTTGAATTTAAATGGGAATTATATGGCATGTGAATTCAATGTCAATAAACATTGTTTTTTAAAAAGAAAAACAAAAACAGGTATTGAGCTGTACTTGGCTCACGGGCCAAAGTCTACTAATTCCTGATCTAAACAAAGCACTCGGTACCCTTTAGTGTACTAGACTAGACTGCCTCTCCTCAATTTCCATCTGCTGCAAATGGCAAGGTGCCCTGTCCAATGAGAAAAAAGGTACCTCCTGCCACTCTAAGCCTTTTCCATCTTTCCCTTTTCCTTCCACGGCCAACATACTCCATTCCACCTGACTGTCCTTTCCCGATACTGTTTCCAGAGTGCAAGACAAAAACCTCCTCAAATCTATATACAGTTAAGAAGTGCTCAACAATGAAAGGTTAGGGTCCGAGTAGAGTTTACCGTCTCCTTCCAACATCTGCCATAAGGAGCAGTGAAAAGAGGAGCTATACGCGGAGCGACACAAGGCAATCTGATCACGAGAGCATGCAAGTATAAACATCAAATGTTGGCTTTTCCCTCCCTTCCCTCTTAGGAAACTTTATCTCTTAATTAAATCCTATTATTTTTTATTAGAAGCAATGTTTTTCAATCCCTCAAGGTCTAACAGAAGGGGAAAATATACATATCAGCAATAATTATAAATCAAAAAAGCAAGGTCACTTCAAATTTCTTAAAGGAAAGTTATCTTTATTCTTTTCCCCAAAAGAAAGAATATATGAGTATTCCTAGAGAAAAGTAGGCAGTCAAAAAGTAAAACCATCTGTAAGCACTAACTTTAGTGAACAGAAGGAGAAAAGCAGGGAAGAAGGAGCTGTGTATCAAAAGAACTACACAAATTTGAGCTGTAGAAAATGTTGACAAATTTTTAATAGGTATGCTAGAGTCAACAGAAATTCATAGAAGACATTTTCCTAAAAATAAAACAAATGTGAAAAAAATCTTTTCAAAGGCTGTCAAGGAAAGGAAGAAGAAAACGAAATCTAACAAGAAAATATTCCTGTCAATTTTAATTATCCAGGCATGTCCTAAATATGGCACTTTGTTCTACAGTGACTCCAGAGACACACCGACATGATAACAGTAAATGAAATAAACATGCAATGACAAGAGGCTTAAATGAGATTAAAACAAAGCCACTACAAGTAAAGACTCACCCCAATTAGCGAGTTTTTGGCATTTCCAATTGTAGTCAGGGCACTGAGGTCAAATATAACTACAAATTTGGCATTGTCTACATTGAATACATGATTTTTAAAAGCCTCGTGTTTTATTTCAGAACAGGCATCAGGAAGTTGTAGACTATGTAGCAGATTGTTTAGGGCACAAGTCATTTCCCCCAGAATTAATTTATAGGCAGTCTCCAAAACAGGAATGTTCTTCAGGCTAAGCACTGCTTGATAAACAGCATGGGCTACTGCAACAACCTTCAAAAGAGAATGCAGGAGAGTGATAACTAAATGGAAAATAAAATTACTAGCTGCCTAATGTGATGATACAAATCAATTTGAAGACTAAGAAATTCACTGTCCAGAATATCAGAGACCTTAATTTCTTTAAAAATCCAACCTTAAGGAACCTATATGCATCAAAAAGTTTATAAAAATTTTCAGAGGCGCCTGGGTGGTTTAGTCAGTTAAGCGTCCAACTCTTGACTTCAGCTCAGAGATTGGGCTCCCGCCCTGTGTCGGGCTCTACGCTGATGGTGCAGAGCCAGCTTGGGCTCTCTCTCTCTCTGCCCTTCCCCATACGTACGTGCATGGCATGCGCTCATGCATGCTCTCTCAAAGTAAATAAATTTTAAACATTTTCAAAACCTGATTAGAGAGAAAGGGTCCTCTAAATTAAGAGTTCATAAAAGTATCAAAACACACACAAAAAGAGCAATTTGTTAAAATTGGTTTTTCAACAACTACTTGGAAAATCTGTCGCATTTCTGACTGGGAGTCAGTTGAAAAGCTAATAGTTAAATTTATGACATACACAGTACTTCTGAACTTGTAACTTTAAAAAGACAGCTGCTTGTTTTATGAAATTTTAATAAAACTTGATAAAAACAAATTACGGAAATATGAAAAGAATAGCTGCCCATCAGTCTGACAATCAACAAATACTAAGTTAAAGGGATCACTGTAATCATTGTATTTTAAACCCAGTATTTAGCATTTCACTCAATTTCATTTATGGAGCCTAATAGGCAACTTAGGTCAACTCTTCAATGACCTAAATTACCAGAAGTTCTTATCAGGGCATCACTTACCTCCTTTTCTTTATGATAACGCAAAAATAGTAGTTTAGATGATGGTATGAACAGTTTTTCTACAAATGACGATGGCAGTTTTGTATTTATCTGTTCAACAATCTAAAAGAATAAAACAAAAAGAAGTGAGCTACCAAGACACAAAAGGACAAGAAACCGTTTTTAAAGGCAAAAGGCCAACAGAAAGAAGCCAATCTGAAACAGCGACACACTGATTCCAATAATAAGACCTCGTAGAAAAGGCTAAACTATGTATACAGTAAAAATATCAGTGGTTACCAGGATTCGGGAGGGATGAATTGGTAGAGTACAAGGGATCTGTAGGCAGGAAAACCATTTAGTATGATACTATAATGGTGGCATGATTCATTTGTCAAAACCTTAGAATGTATAATCCAAAGAGTGAACCCTAAGGTAAACTATGGACCTCACTTAATAACCTGTCAATTTGGTTCATCAATTGTAATAAATGTATCACTAAACAAGATTAGTTAATAATGAGGGGAACTACTGTGGTAGAGAGTATGGGAACTCTGTACTTAAGGCTCTTCTCTAAAACCTTAACAACTGTTCTGAAAACTATTAATTAAAAACGTAATATATCTAAACTATATTTTAAGTCCTTAACATTGTAACATTTAAATGTTGAGACACTTAAATAGGATACATGTATCTACACTTAAATATGGGCATTTTTTTACATTGGCAATTGGCAGAAATGTTCAGCAGAACATCAGCTACAATTTGCTTTAAAACAATTCAGTTGGGGTTGGAAGCACAGCAAGGAAGACAGAGAGTCAGAGGCCTAGAGGAAACCAGATGGACCATGTGTTTCTAATTATAGAAATAATACAAAGATTCATTATGCTATTCTATTTTTTTAATACTCTTCAAAATGCCCATAATAAAAGACGGAGAGGAAGGGAAATATTTATGATTAAGGAAAGAATAAACACTATAAAACAAGTTTGATTTGGGAAACAAAACAGAACAAGGTCTTTCAAAATAGCTATCAAGTACCGATACAGTATTTATCATGTGTACTCGATAGTCTTATGTGAAGGACAATGTTTCATCCAAAAAAAGAGAGACAGGGAAAAAAGCTATATTAAGATCAAACACTAAAAGTAAACAGATAACAGAGCAAAAGCAAACTAGATTATGTAAATACGACTAATTAACGCACTCTTAAAAGAACAACAACCAAGGCCTTCACTTCTTCTACACTAATTTAAGGGCCTGAATGAACAAACATATTAAAAAGCAACAAACAAGAATTCACATACCAATGTGAGTAAATTCAAGACTGAGATGATATAATCTGTACCGCATGTCTGGCAATTCTCCAGTTGATCTAATCCATATGTAATGACCATGTCACAATGTATAGTCATGCTAGGATCCAAGCTGCCGAGCAAAACACCAACACACTCATTAGCAGCTGTCAACACAGCCTCAGAAAAAAACACTTGGTTTGCAGCCGTCACACATCTCATTACTCTGTACAGAACCTGCAAATGGGGAGAACAAGCAGCTTTTTAAAAAAATTCACATGCTTCCACAGAGTAAAAAAAATAGTTTCTATTTAATGCAGTTTCAACTGAAAATTAACTGCCTGCCTTGTCAGTAGTCTCTTAATATTCTAGCTCTCAGTGGCTGAATAACAAGGGTATCTTTAGTAAAATACACACAATGATCTTGCCTAAAAAATTCTAAAGTACTACTGTGACAGAAAATGGAATTTGCCATCCTCTATTTCTTTCATACCCAATTTCTATCACCCTCCCTCCCCCACCTAAAGTGACCAAATGGATGAAGCTCAGAATTTTTATATTCATGAAATACACCAGTACTGAGAACAGTATTAACATGGGAATAAACCAGCCATGAAAATAATCTTTCTCCATTAAAGCACTTGGGCTTTTGGTAATCAATCTTTTAAAACTAAATATCCTAGTCACCTTAGCTTATGAAAGTTCATGTACTGATGGCCTCTTTGGAAACAAAACTCTCATTCATAACATACAATACCTATTTGAGGATTATGAAAATCATGTAACTTCCAACCAAAAACCCCACTAAACAATAAGCATCACTATTAATGTACTAAATTTCTAATAAAAGTAAGTTAAGAAAAAGCCAACAAATTGACACAGTATATTTTTCTGTAATATTCAATAATCACTACATCCAGGCTTCAACCTATAGGTTAAAAAGGCCTAGAAGACCTTCATAAAAGAATATAATAAATATATAACTACCCTGGGAAAGGACTGTTCTTTCCTTTTGTTTTATATCTGAGTTTATTGCCCTTATTTCAACACTAACAATCATCAACCCTGAAGATATTAAATCATCTTGTTCAGGTTTAAACTATCAAAATGCTGGTTTTAATTATCTTCAAGATCTGACATTTCTGCTCAAATACACAATTAACTTACCGAAAATTACATATACAATTAATATCCTATTTTATCTAGCAACGTATTCAACAGAAGTAAATAAACATGAGAGTTTTATCCTAACAGTAAAATTTTAATCATTTAACCTTTTATGACTACATCATGCATGTTTCTCCCTTCTTATTCAAGCACAGCCAGTGACAGGTTCCCTTCTCATTTCTATCAGACAGAGCCACTCCCTAGACTAATACAGTGCAGCTCACGTTTGGGGCTGCTGAAGAGGGGCAATCACACTGCCTCTTATAACTGATCTCACACTACTATGTATTTAAGTTCTTATAACTTTATAACCTTTGATGTCAGGCTATCAAGTTGTTTCATCCTGCCATGCTCAGAAAAAACTACTTTTTAAGGATTTCTCTGTAATGTACTATTCTTATTATGCTGAAAAACTAAACTCAGTAGTTGAAAAGCAAAATTAATTTTATGAAAGATTTTAAAAGAATATTAAAAGAACAAGAATAATGCATTTATGAAGGATCTCATGAGATAAAACTTTGCACATTTTAAAATGCAGCGTAGCCTTCGTCTCATATGGGGGTGGGCAAAGAAGAGGGATACAACAGGATTCCCTACTTTCCTGGTGATTTAAGAAAGCAGCCACATATGTACCTACATACTAAACAAATGAAGAGTTAATAACATAGTTCACAAGGTAAAGAGAAACATTTACAATACACAACCATTTTATTTTTGAATGATACTTAAAAGTCCTAAAGACACTTACATCTGTTACATACGCCTCAGTAATTGGAGGACCTCTAATTGGGCTGAAGCGTTCCCCAATGCTCCTCACTACAGTACTGAACACCCGGAGAAGAGCTGCCAGCTTTGGTAAGGACACAGACGGAGGAGGAACATCTTCATCCACCGACTCCCCAGAGGCCACATGGCTGAGGTCCTAGATGTGAAATCACAGCACTCTTATTTAAGTAGGACATTGTTCGGGGCGCCTTGGTGGCTCAGTCAGTTGAGCATCCACCTTTGGCTCAGGTCGTGATCTCACGGTTCGTGGGTTTGAGCCCTGAGTTGGGCTCTGTGTTGACAGCTGAGAGCCTGGAGCCTGCTTTGGGTTCTGTCTCTCTCTCTCTCTCTCTCTCTCTCTCTCTCTCGGCCCCTCTCCTGTTCATGCTCTGGCTCTCTCTCTCAAAAATAAACATTAAAAAAAAATTTTTTTTAAATGTTTAAAGTAGGACATTGTTCAAAAAAACCCAAAAAACTCCCATTTTTAAAAGTTTATTTTAAAGGTTTATTCATTGAGACAGAAAGAGAGAGAGAGAATTCCAAGCAGGCTCTGCACTGTCAGCTCAGAACCTGACGTAGGGCTCAATCCCACAAACCATGAGATCATGACGTGAGCCAAAATCAAGAGTCAGACACCCAACTGACTGAGCAGCCCAGGTGCCCCAAAAAACTCCCAATTTTTAAGTCAATTAATTTTGTAATAGATTTTTACAAATAAAGTAATTTTAGCCTATCAGAAATCAGAAAAAGAAACATGAATCTAAATGTAAAAATGAATCTGACTTCTCGAATTAACAAGCCAATATTTAAATAAGCCAAAATAACCTCAACAGATTAAGGAAATAACTTCTCATACCAACTCAGATAGGTATTGAGGAAAAATTAATTCTAGTACATATACTCTGTTACATACAGGTATAAATGAAGCCAGAAACTTTTGCCATTCCGGAATTGGTTTCTGCCAAAATCTTACTCCAGGTATTCTTTGAGCCACTCAACTCAACAGTAAGTATCCCTACATGAACACCATGCACACAAAGAGCGAAGGGAAGTGAAGTGTTAAAAAATTATAAAATCTGGTTTACAAATCTAGTTACGGAGATAAGATATACTCAAAGAAAAAGATTGGCAAAAAATAGGATACTAGAACCCACATACACCTACATATAATTAGGCACCGAAATAATTGAAGGGAATGAGATCTTATAAATACCAGAAGGGGGCTGGGGGGGGGAGAGAACTGTTACAAACTAAAATGGGCAGCTTCACTGATACAGATCAGCTTTAAAGGCAGGACAGGAACAAAGATATTCTAAGTGTGGAGGCAAAGAAACACATACAAGCAAAATCCTCCCTTCATTCTTCTCTGAAAGGCTCAAAATAGCAAAGACAAAGCTGAATCATTATGGGAGCCTCAAACACCACACAAGAATCATGGCAGTTCTGAGTAGAGAAGAAACACAGAGGTTCACACAGGACATGGCCAATTTAAGTCATGAGCAGTGGGCCAGGAAACCCAAGACCCAATAACAGAGACTTGAGCAGGACCCGTAAAGTGGACACACTGCACTTATACAACTGCAGAGTCTGCTGAAGCCAAGGCTTATCCTCCAAAGCATGACTCAAGATCCTCAGTGTATGTGAAAGAAAAGTCTTTAGAGGCTTGTATACAGTATCAATTCACTTTACTTTTAATACTTTTAGTAACAGAAAATAAAAATGAACTACAGAAAATGTCTTCAGAAAACTACTAGCAACCAGAATTATTTCAAGTTTTGCAAAATAAGTCCTGCTATTTTTCTTTCAGTCTTTCCGGTAATGCAGCTGGTAACTTAAAAACAACATGTAAGGGACACATGGGTGGCTCTGTTGGCTGAGCATCTGACTCTTGATTTTGGTTCAGGTCATGATCCCAGAGTTATGGGATCAAGCCCCACTTTGGGCTCCACACTGAGTATGAAGCCTGCTTGAGATCCTATCTCTCTCTCTCCCCTCTGCCCTTCTCCCTGGCTCACACTCTTTAAAAATTAAAAAACAAAAAAACACACATCTAAAAAAAAAAAAATTAAAATATTTTAACTGTCTTGTAATTTCTATTCAAATGTCAAGTGGTCTGAATTATTTTAAAAATAAATCTACGTGTGTCTGAATGGGTCAGTCGGTTGAGCATGTGACATCTGATTTTGGCTCAGGTCACGATCTCACGGCTTGTGGATTCGAGCCCCTCAGTCTTTGTACTGACAGTGTGGAGCGTGCTTGGGATTCTCTCTCTCTCTCTCTCTCTCTCTCTCTCTCTCTCTCTCTCAAAATAAATAAATAAACTTCAAAATCAATCAATAAATCAATCAATCTAGCACTGTTTAAGATTTCTGTCTTGCTCTTGTTCTTAACTGAAATCTTAGGAAATAACTCAGGTTTCTATATACTCACCTCAGCATATGCCTCCATATCCTCTAGAAACTGACCAAGAAGGGTGGTAGAAAATGCAAGATCAGCCACCCAAAACGGCTCTAAACTCTGCAACCATCCTAAGAAACATACAAAAATTTTAAAAGAGTAAAGAAAAACAAAAAATCCAAGTTAAAAATAGTATCTTAAAAGCCTTGTTTTAAAAGTTATGATTTTCAGGTTGCATATCCTTAAAACATACCTTATTTCATAAAATTAGGACTGTTAACTGTTAAATAAGCTGATCATGATTACCAATGTCTTTTAATGCTGCAAAAATGAACAGTCTCCAGAAATTAAAATGTGTATCTGCGTCCTTATTTTTCATATTGTCACTATACACGTGGCTTAGAGTAAAATGCCACAATCTACCACCAGCCTGGCTTTCTACTCCAGAGCCACAACCACCCACCAAAGGTGTCCACTCATCTCCCCAGTGGAAATGGGTCAGACCCACTCTCAGTGTCATATCCTATGTTCAGCAGGTTATTGCACCAATTAAGCTAAGAGAAAGAAACAATTAGCACCTGAAACAAGCCAAAATGTCCAAACGAATTGTGCTAGTCATTCATTTAACTCAAAACAAATGAAAAAAATTGTCTTTATCATTTAGAGTTCTCCAAACGGATCCAGAAAAACAGGTCACAAATATCCAGGATTTCATTCTACACTTAGGAGTACTGCCCCTGCAACACCACCTCCTACCAGCACCATCCCAAGTGACTAGGGCGAAGTCCTTTCAATTTCTCACAGGTGCAATTACAACCTGTCTCTACCCTCCCCTACAAACTACTAAGTACACAATCTTGCTTTGAAAGGATAGATTTTGCTAACAAGCAATGTTCATTTATAATAACCAAAATATTTCTGGGAAGCAATTCTTTTTCTTACATTAGGAAAGAAATACTATTAACAGCTGGACTCTGAGGAACCAGAGCTCCTTCCCACAATACTTAAATAATTGGTATATGCTGAATAACTTACCAGACACCTGCTGTGTAAGCGAAGGTTTCTGAGTATGATCTATATGCCATCCAACTAATATATCAACTGTATCCTGTGTGGAGACACAGAGAAAAGGGCTAATCATTTTAAGGTCTAACTGCTATCCCTCCTGTGGACCATTTCAGAATTTCAGAGTAAGCAATCCTAGCAAAAGTGTCTGTGTTCGACCTATTTGACATTATATAA